GAGAGCATGAGGCACTAATTAAAGCTTATGATAGGTTGCAGAAGAGCTGCAAAAAGACCCCAAAGCCTAATCATGGATAAATGAGTGTTCCTGATTAAGTTAAGGTAGAAAGGGTGGAGCAAGTGAAATGATAACAAGCTGGCTTCTGAGAAGAGTGAAATGGCAGCTAGTTAAAGAGGATGTCACCAAGGAGAAATGACACAGGAAGAGCACTTGGAAAAGGTTCTGGTACTATTTCAATACCAAATAATAAATCAGCTTGTGAATGAAATTCTGGTGGTAGAGTCTAGCATACTCAAGAACCTGAGTTCAATCCCAGCACAGAAACTAATAGTCATAATAAAGAAAACACCTGTTAAGGTGTTGCACAGAAAAAAGATCAATGAATGTGGATCTATTGAGAACTACAGGGGAAATGAAGCACTAAGTGTACAGTTTTCGTTCCTTTCTCTACAGTCAATGAAAAGATTTCACTCCTGCTACAAGTAGGAACGTCAGTGAAAGAAGGAAGTTGAAGAACATGAAAGAAGACAGAATGTTCATGTCACTATCCCAGGACATCTGGACAGAAACCCAGACAGCAGGCAGTAGATCCACAGAATCTCCTACAAGAGGATAGGCCACATTCTCTCCTCCATCTGATTTCACACTAAGGGAAACCTTGTCTCCTTTTTCTAGTAAGAAAAATGGGTAGGACATAGTAAACTGAAATGAAGCAAAGCTAATTACTAATTAATACTAGTTATTAATAACTAGGAAAACCTATATTTTGAAGTCAGTTAAAAGTGGAAATTAGATATAAAATACATTTTAGTAAACAGTTTGAGAGGCATCACCCTGAGGAGTCTGAAGATGATATTTATATATTAAAGTACAATTAAAATGCATTTACATCTGAAGAAATTCAATAATTTGCACTCTTTTCCTAATTTTATTAGTTTGATAGCTTCATATATCTCTATAATGAATTTTAGTCATTTTCAGCTCCAATTCATTCTCTCTTCCCTCTCTATCTCTGGAGCCCTTCATTTTTTTTAATGCAAAATAAAAACTGTAATATATATCTTATACACATACATAAAGAAAAATTTGTAGGGGACTGGAGAGATGGCTCAGAGGTTAAGAGCACTTGCTGTTCTTCCAAAGGTCCTGAGTTCAATCCCCAGCAGCCACATGGTGGCTCACAACCATCTATACTGTGATCTGGTGCCCTCTTTCTGGCTCACAGGCACACGTACAGGCAGAATACCATATACTATATAAATAATAAATAAATCTTTTAAAAAAAATTTGTAATACATTATGCATATACATACATATTACATTTTCTTTTTCATTTTACTCATTTACTATATATATTACACACATACATGCAAATATGCCGTCTTGGAAGGAAAGTCAGATCTAAAATAATCAGAACGATCACTATAGAACAGAAACTAAATGTAGTCTACTGAGCTGAGAATATCTGGGTAGGGTACTCTGGGTAGGGTTCAATTTAAAATAAGTACCCAAAGTAAAATTAACTTCCTAACCCTAACTACATTGATCTGATATTAAATTATTCTTACAGAATTATTTTTTAATCAATTAATTATTTTATTTAGTTAGTTTTGATTTTTTGAGACAGGATTTCTCTGTGTAGCCTTGGCTGTCCTGAATTTGCTTTGTAGACCAGGCTGGCCTTGAACTCACTGAGATTCCCCCTACCTCAGCCTCCCTGAGTGCTAGGATTACAGGGATGTGCCTCCACATCCACACAGAATTATTTTTCTTAATCAGGTACGATAGCACATGGTGTTTAATGCCAGCATTCAGGAGGCAGTCAACATCCTGCTAACGGTTAGTGTGTGGCGCATGCACTCAGGAAGCAGAGGCAGACAGATCTCGGTGAGTTGGAGGCCAGCATGGTCTACAGAGGTGCCCGGGACAGCCAAGCTACACGGAGAAACCTGTGTCGGGAAAACAAACAAATAAACAAACAAAAACACTAAAGTTTAAAACACACACACACACACACACACACACACACACACACACACACAGTATGATTTGTTCTATAGGGTGAGGACAAAAGAGCAAGAACAATGGGGGAGGGGTTGCTCATTAGATCCACTGGGTTATTAGGACAGAATTTATCACCTTCCAATAATCTGATTTCTCCCCAAAGTAACTATTTGATATTGTATGGTTACTGTTCATTTAACATGTCAAAATTACACCTTATATATTTTTCTTTAAAAAAAAAAAAGTTAAATAATTAGTTCCTTGAAAAATATTTCTTAAACATACAAGGTCTTTTAATTTAAATATTATTACTCACTAGAGAGAGCCAAAATATGGAAACCTAAATGTATAGTAAGCAAGCACAGAAGAACACTTTATGATCTCACTTATATATGAGATCTAAAGAGTTCAGTTCAAAAGCACAGTAAAGATGTTAGTTCTCAAGGGCTGGAAGGCTGAAAGGGAGTGGGGGAGACTGGTCAAGGGTACAAGATTTCAGTCATCTAGGCCATCAGTGACCTACTGTATATTACAGGGACCACAGCTACACATATGAACTGCATACTTAAAACTGCTACCTCAAACACAAGTGTTTTACCACATGCAGGAAAGACAAACTGATCTATGTGGGTTTGACCTAATATTTCCACAATATACACTTTTATCAAAGTACCATGACATACTTCAAATATATACACACAATTACAGCTTGTAAAGTAAACAAAAACAAGCATCCAGAAAAGGTGAACTGGAGTTACAGACAGTTATGAGCAGCTATGTGGGTGCTGGGAATTGAACCTGGGTCCTCTAGAAGAGCAGGCAGTGTTCTTGACTGCTGAGCTATCTCTCCTATCCCCGGAAAAGGGGGGAAAATTAAACAATGTGTAATTTTTAAAAGGCAAAGGGGGGGTAACACAAATATACAGGGAAAAAAAAAAGATAAAACAATAGTCCAATTTAAAAGCTACTATGGAAGACCAAGAATTTAAAAACAAACAGTTTTCAGGACTTTAAAAGACAGAACTTACTCAACTACTCCTATAAGAATGTGGAGAACTGAGTGATTTACTTGGCTCCTTCCCAAATGCAGCAAATCTCTGAGTTCCAGCAATGTGTAAGGTGGTGGGGCTTCTTCCTGAACTTTATACTTAACTAAGGAACACTTATCTTTAGGAATCAAAAGGAACTGTAGCAGCAATGCTTACAAATAGGAATGCGCACATAGAGATGTAACAGTTTTAAAGTGGTAGTACTGGGTGTGTCTCTTTTGGAAACAACATACAGAACAGTTTCTGCAACTGGGCATTCCTTTTATAAATTACAAATGAATGGGCCTACGGTACATGTCTCTCACTCGCCTTTTCTGGAGAGTGTCATCTAGTAGAGTTTTGCAGGACAGTGCAGCCATTGAGGATTGAAAGCAAGAGCTCTGGGATGATACTGAGTTTCAGTCTCAGCTCTGACACTCATTGCTATGGGACCTTAGGAATGATAATTACATTCTTTCTCAAGTCTCCATATCTGTTAAATGGACAAAGTGTATGTATCTACGTTGTGGATTGGTGAAGACAAGTTCTCTCTCCTCTCTCTGTCGCTCAGTGTCACATACCCTAAACTATAATATGTACTCTATTTACATAATATCATATCATGTATATTGGAGGTATTCTGACTACAAAGTAAGCTAGAAATTCTACAAACCATGGGCAGTGGTCAGACCCCACAGGATATGGCTTTGATATATGACCCACCACAGAGATCAAATCTGACTTCCTGAGAGGTCTGAAAACTACCAACATATCACAACAGGAACTAGGAAGCCTATCACCAACATGACCTGGACAATTGCCATTTTTCTACTATAAAACCCAAATCCTTAACAAATCTGTTCTTCTGAAATACATATATTCAAAAACAGGTTAATTCTTTAAAGCTTTCATAAGGTACATAACACAGCAGTGTAATGACCTAAGTTATTTCCACTGATCTCTTAAAATAATTAGAGCTGCTACTCAATGGCTTTGAAGTAGCAAAGGGAGAGGAAGGTGTGGGGGGGTCAGTGCTATCTATGATGAATTCTGCCAACACCATATAAGCATATATAAACATTCAATTTGATAAAATACCCACAAGTCATACACCGGATTTTAAAGCCATATAAAACTGCGTATCAGCAGAAGCAGCACCTTTTGAAATTGATCAACATACCTAAAAGCAATGGACTTCTTGTCTATACTCCAGAACTGAAATACTTTTTTTAGTAATTTACAAAGGCATGTAAAACTGAGCCAAAGAAAACAATTATCTAAATCCTTCATGGGTGAAACGTACATCTACAAAGTGTCAATTATAAATGTACGACACAGTGATAGTGCAGAAACTGAATACAAGGGTTCAAAAAGGTTTACAGAAATCTTTGAATTTATACACACATACTCACACACAGAGAGCAATTAAAAGACATGGTCACCATTGAGCCAACTGTCAAACAGTGATCGTTTCCAAAGGAAATAGAAATCTCAGTTTAGAATTAGAATAACACCCAGGGAGCTGAAGATGTGGTGCAGGGGTAGAGTGCTTACCTTGCATGTGTGAGTTCAATCCCTAATGGGGCAAATAAAAATAATGTTTCCTAGAATACACCCGATGAATTTGCAATTAACTTCCTTGTGCTCTAGCTTTAAATAAAGCTCGACGAACGAAAAAGTTCTCTTAAGTAACTTCTGACCCAACAAGTTTATCAAAACGCAAATATTTACACAAAAATGATTTGATACACAAAAGTCTAACAACAAACGTTGATAAATTTGGGCAAACTCTACGTTCAAGATGAATCCTGTCCTGGTACCTAGTTCTAATTCTATTTATAGCTCCTTCGACGGTTCCTGGAGGAAACGGGGGAGATTTTAATGGGCTGGGCAGGGAGTAGATCGGCACCTCTGCGGGAAAGCCAGAGCCTGGCCAAGGCGTGCACCTGACAGCTGGCGACTCACCTCGCAGCGCAGAGGCATAGCACGCTCGGCGGCTGGTGGCTGTGCCGCCTGTGAACCCCGCATCTGCTTCAGATCGCGCGCCAGCCGCCCCTGAAGCTTCACCCGGACACGGCTGCCGGGTGCCCACCCCGGCAGACTTCACTGCTACCCGACTTTTTTTAGCGGAGGTTACGTAAATGCGGCCAGGTGGGCCTGGCGGAGGCTGGTTTCGGGTGAAGTTCAATCCTCCGGCTCCAGCGGGCCCTCCAGTCTACCTGCTCTTGCCCCGACTTGAGTCTCCAGCCTCACTGCGCTCTGAAAGGACTGCAGCCGGGTCCGCACTCCACCTGCGGAGGACTGGAACGCGGCTCTCAGGCTTCCGCCCACTCCAGCCTCATCCTCCGGACGGTCGAGCCGTCCAGAGCTGAGCAGGCAACTGGGCGATCTCGACCCGACCGGCCCTGACCCGCTGAACTGGAAGCGGCGCTGCACAGAGTCGGACCCCGACAGGTGCGTCGCACGCGCGTGACGTCACCGCGTTGACGTGAACGGCCGTTCTGCGTTAGGCCTTCCGCGGCACTTCCTCCTACGGCCCTGCCGGAAGGCACGTCGACTCCTATTGGTCTGAATGGAACGGTGGGCGTGACATGGGCGTGGCCGCGACACGACGGGCTCCGGGATCGGTGAAGACCGCTCGGGACAGCTCGGGGCCGCTCGAGGCTGTTCGGCGCTGCTCGGCGCTGCTCGGCGCTGCTCGACGCTGCTCAGTGAGTAGTCCACGTCACTCACGTCTTTGCATAAGCCCCACCGGCGTCCACATGAAAGGACTCCCACAGAGAAGGCTTTTACTGAAGCGTTCGGTTCCCGACACCTGACACCTCTCGGCCCTGCCCGGACCGGGAGAAGCTGAAGCTGGCTGAAGCAAGCGTGTGACCCCGCGCCAAACGCCTTGGTAGTGTGCAGTGTCTGCTACGGTGGCATCCAGCCTTACACACCGTCGCCAAGTTATGCGCTTAACAAAACATAGCAGAGGGAGAAGATCCTGATGAATCTAAATTTAGACACCACGCATTTCCAAAGAATAATTCTTGGAAGAATCTGAGGGCTACACGCAGTGTTACACAGGGAGTTCCCGTCATGTGTCACAGTATAAGGGAAGCCTCTTTCCCTTGCTCAAAGAGCTGTAGTGTGATTCAGGCAGGGAGGTATATAAAAGCCTGGCCTAGGCCAGAGTTTGCCCAAGAGCCTGGTGAACAGGTAGGTGCAGGCTTTCTAATTGAACAGGACCTGTGGGACCAGTATGGCTGACGCCAGGGTGGCAGAATTAAGACCTGTCTTGGTTAAAGTGTCTCATGTCTATTTCTGTATTGCTTAATGAATACTCATGCCCTCATCTATTTACTGCCTTATGAAATATTAAGTGTGACAGGCTCTCACTGCAGACATGTAGCCTGATTTTTTTTCTTGCAGAGGGGGAGGAGCATCTAGATTATTTTTAGACAGTATTCATAGCCAATCTGTTTTCTGTAAAGATGACAGAATCCTGTACTGTTTTAGTTCTATCGTGGAAAATTACTCTTTTAAGTAAACAAAAAAATGCTACTTGTACATTTGGCTTTGTGTAATAATTATGTGGTACACTAATTTATGAGAACGTTTCTTTTTGGGCTGGTGAGGTGGCTCAGAGGTTAAGAACGCTGGTTCTTCCAAATGGTCCTGAGTTCAACAACCAGAAACCACACGGTGGCTCATAACACTCTAAAGTGAGATTTGGTGCCCTCTTCTGGCACACATGCAGGCCGAATGCTGTAGAAATAATAAATAAATAAATCTTTAAAAACGAGAACGTTTCTTTTAAAATTTGTGGCTCAACGATGCAGGACTTGGCTTGGCATACCAGAAGCACTGTGTTCTAGCTCCAGCCTGACGAAAGTGAAATACTCGATCTCTGACACCCATACAACCACATTAGTCGTTCTCAACCTTCACGCTTCTCCCGGAAATTATTTTCACTGTTTGCAGACTGGCCTTAAGCCTCTCTGTATGTAATCCTTAAATATGCGAGGCTCAGAAGCACCACATCAGACAATATATTTAAACACTGTACTATGGGATCCATTGTCATCAAAGTATAGATCACATCTGAGAAATCACTTTCTTTGTGATTTCTCTCTTGAGACTTGTAGAAAAGTCCTCTGACATGAATCTCTTCTTCGAAAGACTTGAATGGAAAGAGAGGGTAAGGCCTCCCCAGCACAGCATAGTATAAGTTCTGTTATAGATGCTTGTGACATGAACTCCTTTCTTGTCCTGCAGAAGGGATCTTTGGTGACTGAAACTCTAAGAATGATCTTCTCAGGGCAGAGAGAATTCCCAATAAGGAATTTTTATAAACTTTTATTTAAAAAAAAAATCACAAACCTGACTGCCAGTCTTCCTAAAACCTTAATGGGACTGTATCCTTTTGCTGAGCAGATTATATTAGAGTTCTTTAGGATAAAAGTCTGACACCGGCCTCGCTAGTTAAAATCAGAGTTGGCTAGGTTGTTTTCTTCTAGAGGCCCTAGGGAAGAATCAACATTATCAACATTGGTGTAGTTATTTGAAAATGCTCGCTTACTCCTTCATTTTCAAATGACAGGGAGAGTCCTCCTTTAATCTAATTTATTGATTCTAGGGATTAGACAGGCACGGATGTCTTTGGGGGGAGGGGGAACTGAATATCCTGCCTGCTGTGACAGTGTTTTACAGCATTACGCCTTAGTATGCATTCTAATGTATGATAAGTATTCGGAGACACAGAGCAGTAAGTTATCTGCAAAAGGTCAGCTTCTCTTTAAGTTGACCTTGGCTCTTGTTAGAACTGAGCGTAAGGGGTAATAACCAAGCTCTATTAATATTCAGATTGGCTTTTCCCTCCCCTTACCAGCCAACTAATTGGTTCAGGCCTCTAGGAAAGGAAAAATTTGAACTCACAATAGAAGTTTATTTCCACCATTTGTAGTATAACTTGTTCATTAATAGTCTTGCTGGTTCCTTGGCCAAAAGTAAGGTAAGTAGTGCCTATGACGTGTGTGAGAGGGCTAAGTCTTCCCCTGTGTTAGTAGTTTCCCTTTGTTGAGAATGCCATATTATTTTTTTGTTTTTGTTGTTTTGGTTTGGTTTGCCAGATTTTCTAATCTGGCAAAAGAAGCAAAAAAGAGCACTGGGAAGGACATCTGTTTCATCTAGATTCTTCCTTTATTGCTTCTGTGGACTTCCCTTGAAATAAAAAACCAGGTGCACATGCCTATAAACCAAGCACTCCAGAGACAGAGGCAGGCAGATCTCATTGAGGTCAAGAGCAGCATGGTCTAAAAATCATTTTCCAGGACAACCGGGGCTACACAGAGAAAGCCTGTCTTGAAAATCAAAACCAAAGAAAGAAAGGGGAAAAAAGAAGAAAAGAAACCAGTTGCTGCATGTAGCTTAGTTTGCCGAGTGTAGACAAGATGCTGGATTTCCAAACAAATCAACTACAATAACAACACACACACACAAAACAAACCTGTGTCTATCTTACCATGAGCCTACTTTAGAATTTCCTCCTGACAGCAGCAGTATCAGGAAGGTAGTAAAAAATGACCCTTTCTTATCCTTTGGTCTTTTTTACCCCTAAAATTAATCAAGTTGTCTTGAGCAGTTTTGCACGCCTGGTTATTTTATGAGATCTGAGGTAGCAAATAACTTTCCACTTTCATATGATTCTTTTCTAGAAAATCCTGCCTTGCATGATAATTCAACCACATTTTCAAAACAGCCATGAAATGAGTCCTTCCTCGCATTTTGCGCAGATAAAGGCTCCGTCTTGCAATGGTGCACGGTGGTGTGCACCTATGATCCCAGCACTGAGAAAGCAGAAAAGGAGGCTTGCCACCTTTAAGGGCAGCCTGGTCTACACATAGCTAATATAGTGAATTCTAGCCAACCAAGGGTGGACAGGGAGACCCTGTCTCAGAAAACATAAAAATGAATAAAATTTCCATAATAAAAATAAAAAAAAAAAAAACACCCTTTATTGAATTGTGTAACAGGGTTAAGAGGCAGCATCTCTTCGTTTCTGCAACACTGTCCTCCAGGATATCTGGCCAAAAAGCTTCCAGCCTAGTTTACTATCACCGCCTTCCATCTCACAGGATGAGTGCTGAGATTACAGAAGCACGCCGTCACATCTGGCTTAGGTTCTGGGGCTCAAACTCATTAAGGCATGGTGATTGATTTTACCTGCTCATCCATATTGGCCATAGTATTGCCTTTTATTGGGTGTTCGTTTCAAGAAGGCTCCACCCTCAGGCAGGGTCATGCTCCCACAGGGCTGAATTATTTTCATAAGTTGTTGTAAAGCAACAACTTATGTTTTGTCTCCATGCCCCCACTTGCATTTGTGCTCTTCCATGTTGTGATTCAGTTTCTGTGTTCGTACTAGCTAAATAAATGTTTCTTTATAAGCTACCCACTGTCAGGTATTCATCCACAGCATCATCAGAAGATGGACCAGGACAGAGACCAATAAAGACACTGAAGAGAAATGTAGAAATAAATGCAAACATAAGTGATAATTTAATATTTGGAAGATTTTATCTCCAGTTGGTGACAAATATCTATTTTCCCAGTAGAAAAAGGTTAATTTCTTCATTTCATAAATAGCTTATAACTGGTTTGTTACGCTTCGTTTATCCTGTGTGAGCACAGGCACATGAGCACCATTTGGCACAGGTGTGGCTGTCAGAGGGAAACCTGTGGGAGTCAGTTCGCTTCTTCCGCCATGTAGGTCCTTAGGATCGACTTCAGGTCACCATGATGGGAAGAAAGCACTTTTCCTTGCTGAGGCAACTGACTGACTTCTAGTAGCAAAACATATGAAAGGCAATCACAGGCAAAAATGCAAAATGTATGCAAAACCAAGAGAAACACAGGAATACACAGTGGCTGTGAGTCCACTTCTAGGCACTTTTACCATAAAGGTAACCCAAGATGTTGAACCTAATTTCCAAATATGATTGACCCTGATCCCCTCCCCTCCTTAATAAATGCTGCCTCTCTATACATCTTTTTAAAAAAACCGAAAACATGGCTAAAATGACACAAGACTTGAGACCTGGCCTGTAAAAGGGTAGGCAATTTCTGTCTCCCTTATTTGAAGGCAGCTGCTGCGGAGAATGTATCACTGAGCTCACGATTCTGTGAGCAATCCAAGCTATTCATGTGGAGAGACTGGAGGACACCAAGGCTCTTTTTCTTGGAGCATCAAGTGAAGGATGACTACTGCTGAGAAGCTTAATGAATGATCTTAGTCCCCGCTGTGTGGAGCAGAACCACATGCTGAACCATCCTTGACCTCCAGCTCTCGTAACTGGGAGGCCCTGAATTCTTAAGGATGATTTGTTATCCAACAATATGTTTTCAAAGTATGGCAGTGTTTAATTATAGTGGGAAGATCTGCATACATTTGACTTCATAACCCTGCTTTTAGCAATCCCTTAGAAATAAAAGTGTACTAACAACCCTCATCAAACAAGCCTCTTTTTACAGCAAATGGAGATCATCACAGAAAACCACAAATGGTCACAATGCAGAAATGGATTGTGGGGAGCCCAACCCCAATGAATATATCTACATCCATGATTCAAAATAACTCAGAAGGGAAGGGAAAGATCCTAAGAGCCAGAATACCAGGAAGTCAGCTATGAAACAAGTATCTCTAGAAACAACTATAAACAACTAGAACAAAGACAATGTACATAGACATGCTAGAGTGGGAGGGGAAATTTTTAGCAGTGTATTATCCCTGGACAATGAATGACAGGCAACTAATGAGAGCTGGGAGAATTACCCACTCCCAGAGGTAAGCCCTTTTATTGGTTGTTCATTGCAGAGTGGTCAGCCTTGAAGCCATATACACACATTGGACCCAATAGGTTCTATTTACATATATCTGAACAAACACATGTACAGACACATGAGTAACAAATATAATTAAAAAGGCTATCAAGTTGAGAGGAGACATGGGAGGGGTTTGAGGGAGGAAGGGGAGGGGTAAGTGACATATTCTATTTCTATTAAAAACATTTTTAAAAGAATACCATGAGAAACAATTACTATAAATGACATCCATGTAATATAAATAGTACATCCATTATCATGAAGTTATTTTTTTTTTGCATGTGTATTTGTGTGTTGCATGTGTTTGAATCTGTGGGCACACATGAAGGTGGAGTACATATTGACATGTACATGTGGAAACATGAAGTTGACATTCAGTGTCTTCCTCAGTTGCTCTGTTTTGTCAAGGCAGAGTCTCTCAGTGATATGGACTTCACCAATTCTGGCTAGTTTACTGAGACAGCTTCTCATGAATCTCCTGTCTCTGCTGGGGTACAGGCAGCCCAGCCCACAGGCCTATCTAGTCTTTTCACAGGGTTCTAGGGATCTGAACTCCAGAATTCATGCTTACAGCAAGCACTTTATCTGTTAAGGCACCTCCCAGCCTGCTGGTCATGGGGTCTTTATTCTGACAGGAATTTCATGTTCTCTAGAGAGATGTTCAGGATCTACTGTTAAATTATTTATGCCTATAGCATAAAAATGTGCATATCATAACGTACCTTAAAAGATTAGGACTAACGTGGGTGCATGAGTATTCTTTGTGAGCTTAGAAATGTAAATGCATCTTTCCAGCTTCAGTCGGACAGGGGCAGAGACTGGTCTGGAAGGATCGCTGCGATGGCTGCCCAGGGAGAGCAGCAGGTCCAGTTCAAGCTCGTCCTGGTGGGCAACAGCACTGGGAAGCACCACTTGACGGGTGAGAAGTATGTAGCCTCCCTGGCCTTGGAAGTGCACCCGCTCGTCTTCCATACCAACAGAGGAACCAAGTTCAACTTGTGGGACACAGCCGGCCTAGAGAAGTTTGGGGGCCTGCGCAATGGCTACTACATCCAAGCCCAGTGTGCCATTATAATGTTCAATGTAACATCAAGAGTTACTTACAAGAACGTATCTAACTGGCACAGAGATCTGGTACTAGTGTGTGAAAACATCCCCATTGTATTGTGTGGCAACAAGGTGGATATTAAGGACAGGAAAGTGAAGGCAAAATCTATTGTGTTCCACCAAAAGAAGAATCTCCAGTATTATGACATTTCTGCCAAAAGTAACTACAACTTTGAAAAGCCTTTCCTCTGGCTTGCCAGAAAGCTCATTGGCGATCCTAATTTGGAGTTTGTTGCCATGCCTGCTCTTGCCCCACCTGAGGTGGTCATGGACCCAGGTCTGGCAGCACAGCATGAGCATGATTTAGAGGTTGCTCAGACGACTGCCCTCCCGAATGAGGATGACGACCTGTGAGAATGTGCAGCTGCAGCGCTGCGTCAGAAGTCTAGTTTTATAGGCAACTGTCCTGTGATGTCAGGGGTCCAGGGTGTGTGCCACCTTATTTAGCTAACAGATCGTGTGCTTCACTGGGATGCTGAGGGAGATGAATGGGCTTCGGAGTGAATGTGGCAGTTAAAACATACTTTAATTTTTTTTTTTTTTTTTTGGACTTGCATATTCAGCTATTTGGAACAGAGTTGTTTCCTTCCTGAATTTCAAAGATAAGACTGCTAAGGTCGCATCACAATACTCAGTGGTGAAACTTTGTTTATTACTGTCATTCCCATTCTTTTCGCTTAGAATCAGAATGAAGTTGTATTTCAAATAATCTTAAAAAAAAAAAAGAAATGTAAATGCTTGGAAACTTCATATTGTTTTGTATACACAGTGAGCACTGAGGACAGAGGTTAAAGCTTTAATTTTGTACACTTAAGATTATTAGACTGTTCCAAGGAACAAAACTACTTTCATCTAAAAGTAATATCCAATGAAATACTTAAGAACAAAAAATATTTGTGTTGTAAAATTAAAACATTAAATCGTACAGGGATATATAAGCCAGAAAGGGAAATCACCACATAATCTATATTTCTTCAAAGTACATCAACATGCTATGTGAGTAAAAATAGACCCTGCTTACATTTTGAAATAGCTGTTGAGTATTCCATTGTTTAAATATATTGTAACCTAATCATTTTTTGTAGACACATTGTTTCTACATTATCTAGTTCTAGTTATAAATAATAATAGTTAATTTCATATGTTTGTTTTTGGCTCTGTGGTTCTAGAAGCGAAAGTCTAGAGTCCAAGAGTATACATACCGACAGTATGCTTTTAGAAAGACTAGCAGTTTCTATTCCAGCAACGGCCTGGCAACTGCCTAATGAATTCTCTTCAGACGTCTGACGAGCCATTTTCATGCAAGCAGTAAACAAGACTTTGCTTAGACCAGTAGTTGGCAGTGTTTCTCCCTCCCTTTGCAGGACAGGGTTATGTGGGTAGAGCTACAGCTGTACTTTAGACAGCAAAATCCTTTCTAACGGGGCTTGGACGGGGCTGAAGACCAGAAGGAAAAAAAAAAATAGGAAAATAAGACATTTGTAGCTGCATGGAGAGTGAAGACATTTACTTTTCTAGTGTACTAGCTTAGGTGACTCACAGTGTCACCATCTGGCAAAGAAACTCCAAATCTGTCCATTTCCAAGTTGGAAATAACTACAAGCTCCTGAACCTAGAAAAGTGTTGAGTGTGTGGGGTTGGGAATGGAGGGGGGAAGAAGAAAGAGGAGGTAGGTTTTGCTTTTCCAAATCATCTGATCTCAGATCTCTGGCAAAGTCTGTGCAGTCTCTGTACTGTGTCTACACACAACACATGAACTATGGGCAAAAGTATTGTATATATGACGAGACTTGTCTTCCTGCTTCACGGAAGGGCATTCCAGCAGTTCCAGGTCGTCCTAGGAAGGCAACCTAGGAGGTACTAGGTTACTGAGTAGAGCTACTCAGGAAGACACTAGATCTGCTCTCAACTGTTTCAATCCCCCGGCCCCCGCACGGAAAAGTTTTTAATCTACTGTACAGCGCCAGTAGTCCCTTCACTATAAAATTTATACATACAGTAGACATAAAGATGTAGAAAACTATATTATAAATTTGTATTTTAAAAAAGTAAAGATTAAAATGCTTACTTAGATAGCACAAACTAACTTAAGGCTTTCTTATTTTTAGTCTCTCAAATATGTGTGGATAAGTTCAAGTGCCGGTGCTTGCAGAGACCACAGGCCTCAGGATCCGCCTGGAGTTAAGTTACAGGTGGTTGTGAGCTAACCAGCATGGGTTCTCCAGTCACTCACAACAACTTTCTTAAAGGCTTTGCATTTAAAGGAAGACTACTTGTAAACACATGGCATCCTCAGTTAAGTAATGAGCGCTCAAATGAAATAAAAGTACCTAATCTGTCACCTTGTGAGACAAGTTATTAATAAATACTTTCTTCAGTCTGCGTCAGATTCCCGAGTGAATTTCCCGCCTTCACACAGCCTAATTCTTTACATTCTTTCTGCCTACACTCAACCCTCACACCCTCCTTCTGTATCACACAATTCCTCTGGTGCTTGGAATGTTTAACCCCTGAAGCTCCGCCCCCCGCCCCCCCCTCAGCCGCCCCCACCAAAGCTCCTGCAAGCACTTTGCTTATCCCTCTATCTCTGTCTCGCAATAGCATCGCTCCCATGGCTTTAACATTCCGATGGCTCCGCCCTTTCCCGATGCCCCGCCCCAATTTGCCTTTTCCAACCGGCACCTACCCTCTCGCTCCGTTCTCCCTCGCCTCCTTCCTCCTCCAGGGCCGCCCCTTTGGCCCCGACGCTCCCAGGCAGCTCCGCCCCCGCAGTTGGCGGGGTACCACTGGCTTTTCTATTTCATAACTCCGCCCTTCCCTGAAGCCCGGCCCCTAACACCCCCTCTAGTCCCTCCCCATCCTGCTGGCCCCGCCCCGTTCTCTTGGCCCCGCCCCTACCGCGTCCCGGGCTCCTCCTCTGCAGCACTGCAACAAGCCGGCTCCTGCGTGCTGACGTCACACGCTAGCGACAGTGACGCGCGGGCCGTTCGCCTCTCCTCAGCATTAGCCCCGGGGTGTCAGGGCGGCACCGTGCGGAGTCCTCGCCTGGAGCCGGTGCAGTTAACCGCATCCCGGAATCCATGGTCACTGTGACGAGGTGGAAGGGCGTGGGCGCCAAGTAGCCTCCCAGTCCCACCGCTGCGTGTCCGCGCCTGGCCGAGCCACCGCCACCAGTGAAGTTGGGGGCGGTTCCCGCTGTGCCGCCGCGGTTTCCAAGGGGTCAGAAACCGCTGTTTGTTTGGTCCGCGTAACTAGGGCGGATCGCGCGAGCTCTGCCTGGCCCGACGGTGGCGGGCTTGACGCGTCAGCCGCAGACCCGTGCCAGGTGTAAGAGTCGCAGTCTGGGCTTGGGTAGACAGACTTGCTTTCTCTTGGAGCATGCCGTGTTCAAACTGCACCGTGGTGCCTCTGCCTTAAGTCCTGTAAGAAGACACTGGCGCTTTTAGACCGGTGCTTATGGTCGCCACTGTCGTTCTGACTCCAGTCCCGTGTCATTGAGGTAAGTTGCACGTGGGGAAAACAGTGAGAGGCGGAATGGTGAACTCACCGCGGGTGTAGATCTTATGTAGAGTCCATGGCTACTCAGCCTTAAGCGTTTGCACGTGAAGCACCTTCGTCTCAGTAGAATGTTAAATCAAAAGAGGACTTGTGTGTGGCTCAAGGCAATTCTTAGATATCATAAAATGATAACGCAATCATAGTAGATGATAAAAAGTCATTTAAATGGATTAGATACCTTTGGTCATACCAGTATATTTTAATGAGAAAATGAACAGCAGTTAACTGACTACCCTAAACCTAATATATCGCTTCTCTTCCCACAATTTTCCATGTGTAAAGTATTAAGAGTTTTACTACTTTAATAATTTAGTTTAACTTTAGGAAGGGTCCTGGGGAATGGATTAAAGGACATCATTTTTGCAAAGTGGGTGATCTGAGTTATATACTCTGCCCAATTTTTTTTAATTCTCTACTGTAAGATCTCGGAGAAGCAAAAATATTTTTATTACCTGCATAAATCACATCTGAAATGTTTGTGAAGGCTTAAAAGCCCTCATCCATCTGAGCTTTAATGATGGGCTTTTCTTATGATGCAGTGAGTGGAGGTGATGGGTGTCAGCCAGACAGAAAAAGCAGTAAATTCTTTGTTACTAGTTTTAAGAATCTAGAGGTCTACACTTAAAATTGCCTCTTGTTCTGGTGAAACCCGAGTAACCTATTTTGTGGGAAAACTGGTTTTTAAACAGAAAAAAAGCCTGTCAGGAATCTGATAAAGGCTATGAAACTTAATCATAGATCTTTTGAGGTCGTTTTAATAATGCATTGGCATTGTATTCCACGTAGATTTTACTCGTCTAGTGTACTTCTTGTCTAAATCAGGACGTGATAGCTTTTCACACATATGTAGACTTATTTGCGTGTTAGTTTCTACTCCAAATTCCTAGGATATTGTCTGAATATATTTACCATAAAGAAAACACATACCTTGAAAAAATAATAGTATTCCTATATTTTGTTTTCTAACTTTTCCTTGGTAATGAAAAATAGAGAAGAATTTTCCTTTCTGAGAAGATACGTTGATCCTTTTTTGCAATTCAGGTTGTCTCTTGATTTGGAAGAACAGTGTATGTCCGTTTTACCTGCAGACAGTACCAGGAGACTTCTTGGCATCTGTTATCTTCTATTCCCTTCGGAGTAACTTGTCCATCCAGTATCTGAAACAGATAATGCTTAATGCCTGTCAGTGTGTGTTTTCCTGACTGATGAAGAAACAGTCAGGAAAATACCTGTATGCTTTGACAGTTTTCATATGTTGTTCATAATATTGTATCAAATACTGCTTATATGTAATAGTTTTTTAAAAAGTGGAAAGGAAGGTATCTAATTTCTGGAGCATAATTGACATACTTAAAAGAAACCTGATATTGTAGCAAAACTTTAAATGTTAAAGTGAAGAATATGGAAATGGGGAATTGTTTGTGTATGTTTTTTCCAGTGCTAAGGATCAAACCAAGGGGCCTGGTGCATACTAGACAGGTGCTTCTGCCACCAACCTATATGCCCATTCCTGTTTAAAAATTTAAGTAGGACTAGCAAGATGAACCAGAGGGAAAGGCACTTGCCACACCTGATGGCCTTAGTTCAGTCCTCATGACCTACCTACCTGGTGGAAGAACGAACCCCCACAAGTCTCCATAGTAAACACACATACACACAGAGTCTCAGTGCATAGTTTTTTTAATATAAGTAGGAGAAATTGACTTACTCAATGTTCTTCCTATTTGTGTCAGTACACATGGCTGATTAATTTTATTGTTTTGACTAGTTAATCAAATTTTTTGTTTGTTTTTTTGAGACAGGGTTTCTGTGTGTAGGCTTGGCTATCCTGGACTTGCTTTGTAGATCAGGCTGGCCTCAAATTCACAGAGCTCCTCCTGCCTCTGTCTTCCCGGTGCTAGGATTACAGACGTGCGACACCACCCCTGGCTACTAATCAATTATAGTTCAAAATTCAGATGATACCAAGGATTGAAGAGTTCTTAACTCTTCATTTTCCTTCTTTAAAAGCAATAATGCTAACTTGTTTTGTGTCTTTACAGAGGTATTTCTTATATGCTTCTGTGTTTGCATGTATATAGATATAAAGAAATGTAAACATATATATACATATGTTTTCCTCTTTCTGCACAAATAGTGTGTTTGCTAATTGCCAACTGATACAAATCTAGACAAATCTTGGAAAAGAGACTGTCAACTGAAAGATTGCCTCCATCAGACTGTCCTGTGAATGCATCTGTGAGCGTTTTCTTGGTTAATATTGGTGTGGGAGAGCTCCATCTACTGTGGTGGTGCCTCCCTTAGGCAGGTGCTTTGGGTTGTGTAAGAAAGCCAGCTGATGCCAGGTAGTCTGTTTTACTATCATTTGTTTCATTTCATTTGAAATTGTTTTCTAATGTAATTATTTAGTTGTGAAGTCTCAGAGCTATGAAGTAGGAAGCTCATATTTTCCTTCTGATACACATTGACTGCAGAAACGGAAAGCTTGTGTACTGAAACCCATTAACCATGAATTTTTGGTTGCTCAGAAAGGTACCTGATGGTAATTAGGTTTCTCTGTCTTTACCTTCTTACCAAGGGCAGTACATTTGGCTTTCTGAATTAGCACCACAGTGTTCAGCATGTGGATGGCAGTACAATGCAATACTAGACACACTGTTTCTGCATTGTTGGTGTAGTCCCTGGAAAGGAATTGGCTATTAAATTTGGAGGAAGAGCCAAACTGACAAATTTTGTTATTTTCTTTCTTGCCAAAAAGTCACAAAACAATAACGGTTATAAAATAACCTCAGTATGTGGTTATTATTCAATGTAATTTTATTTTAAAGAGTTGAGTCTTCTAAGATGAGTTTATCATGATTTGTTCTCTAAGTAATGTAGTAATATGATACATTAAGCTTTCATGGTCTGGAGATAACATTAAATTTTGGCTGGTTTCCAAATAGCCATTACACTATGCCAGTTGATTCAGTGTAGACCATGTGTAGAAAGACTTTTCCTCTACCTCACTGTTGATGGCTGGAGTTTTATGATAATATCTTAATTTTTCTTTCTCTAAGGTTGCTAACAGGATTCTCAGTATAGAAATTGAAATGTGATCTGATTATATTGTCTTTTTTAAAGTTGAGAAAGGTTCTTTGTCACAAAATTTCATGAGTATTAATTTTACTTCAGGCTGGATTTTAACCTTTAGCTTTCAGGACTATAATAATTCTGTAATTAAAGAAAATTGAATTTTTTTAAAAGGAACCTTTAAAAAATTAGTACTGATAGATGAGAAGAAAACATTGGTTTATTAATATTAGTGAACTGTGGCAGAGATTTTAATTTTCCCACAAGCCCATTTTCTCCTCAAAGGGAACATACATTGGAAACATGCTTGCTGTGAGTGGAAACAAAGGGCAAGTTGGGTGAATGAAGTATCAGTTTTAGATTAAAATAGTGAATTCCTGCATGTCTGCAGAACAGAAATCTTGCCCCTGGGCTGTATTTATGGCTTTCTCACATGCTTTCATTTTTAAGATTTCACTACCTACTGTATTTTTTTTGTATTTTTTTCTGGCTTAACCTAAGATGATAATTAGTCATGCTTCTCTAGGGAAACAACTAATAGAATATATACATGTATATGTATGATATATACATATGTGTGTGTGTGTGTGTGTGTGTGTATTTATTTATTTATTAGAGTGTCTGCAGACTGTGGTCTGGTTAGTCCAACAATGGCTGTCACCAGATAGAAAGGCAAAGAATCTGGTAGTTTTTCTGTCCACAAGGCTGATCTTCAATGCTGAAAAAGTAGGTTCTAATGCCAGTGAAGGAGTGAGTGGAGTGCCTCAGCAGTAGCATAGATGAATGTGCCAGCAAGAGTGAGGGCAATCAGGCAAAGAGCAAAAGCTTCCATCTTCCTTGTCCTTAATGTGGACTGTCACCAGATTTGTGGCCAAGATTTAGGATGGACTTCCTATCTCAAATGATCCAGATTTGGAGTGAATCTTTCCACTTTAAGTGCTCAAATCAAGAAAAATCCCTCAAAGGTGTGCCCAGCACTTGGGTTTTATTTAATTCCAGATGTAGTCAATTTGATAAGCAAGATTAGTCAAGCTACTAACAAGTTTGTCTTCGTTGGATAATCTTTGAAGTATGGTAATCAAACCAGTTCATATTAAGCTGGGCATAGCCCTACATACTTGTAGTCCCAGCATTTAGGATTAGGAGGGAGCATGAGTTAGTTTGAGGAAGGCATGAAATTAATGACCTGTCTCAAAAAGATTTTATCTTTAAGACAGATAAGGATCTTACTAAGTAAGGTTTTCCATACTAAAAGACTATGCAAGAAATGGGCAAAGAATATAGAGAAAACACAAATGTTCAATAAATGTGGAATAATTTTTCAAATTTATCAGTTAGAAGAAGAATTGAAATAAAGCATTGTCTCATCAAACATCAGCAACAACAACAAAGTGATACATTCCTTGGGTTGCTGGTATATTGCTTCAATTAATCCTCATAGTGATTCTTTAAGTAGTATACTTTGTTTATGTGCATTTCCAGGTGAATAAAGACACGGATTTCAATAGTGTAAGGCAATGGTTTTCAACCTTCCTAATGCTGCAGTTCTTTAGTACAGTTTCTCATGTTGCAGTGACCCCAACCATAAAATTATTTTCATTGCTACTTTAGAAACGTAATTGTCCTTACCCTATGAATCCTATTGTAAATATCTGATAGGCAACTCTTGTGAAAGTGGTTGCAACCCACCCGTTGAGAAACGTTGTAAGGTCAGGCCACAAGTAATAGAACCAGGATTTAGGCTCTCTCTTAGTGTTCTGTTGCTGTGACAAAACCCCATGATCAGTACAACTCTCACAAAGGAAAGCATTCAATTGGGGGCTTGCCTGTGATTTCAGAGGGTTAGTCCATTATAACAGGACCATTGAAGCAGGTGAGAAGACATGGCATGGTACAGGAGTATTAGCTGACACCTTTGCATCCTGATTCATCAGCAGGCCCATGCATGGGGGGGGGGGGGCGAATTGGGGTGGCCTGGGCTTGGTATAGCTTTTGAAATCTCAAAGCCCACTCCCAGAGATACACCTCTTTCAACAAAGTCATACCTCCTTCAGCAAGGCCACACCTCCTCCATTAAGGCAACTCCTTGTCCTTCCAAACAGTTCTTCATGGGGAAAGAGCGGAGAACAACTAAGCATGTAAATACATGAGCCAGTGAGACCATTCTCATTCAAACCAGTTCCACTGCTCTCTGAAAAAGCAAAGTTCATTATAATAGTGTGTATTTGTAAATATGATATATGTGAGTGCAGGGCATGTAAGTCATGCACATGTGTGGAGGACAGATAACTTTATGGAATTTCCTCCTTCCAAGGATCTAACTCTGGTCTCCATGCTTGTGTGGCAAGTTCTTTGAAACCATTGAGCCAGCCATCTTGCTGGCCTAGCTCTGTAACTGCTGCCCTTTAGTTGCTTCTCTGGTTTTTTTATAATCAATAGCAGAATCTGGAAACAACCCAGATGTCCCTCCACTGAGAAATGGATACAGAAATTGTGGTACATTTACACAATGGAATACTACTCAGCAATTAAAAACAAGGAAATCATGAAATTTGCAGGCAAATGGTGGGAACTAGAAAAGATCATCCTGAGTGAGAAATTCCAGAAGCAGAAAGACACACATGGTATATACTCACTTATAAGTGGATATTAGACATATAGGATAAATATACTGAAATCTGTACACCTAAAGAAGCTAAGCAAGAAGGAGGACCCTGGGAAAGATGCTCAATCCTCATTCAGAAAGGCAAACGGAAGAAGGCGAAAACAAGGAACAAGACAAGAGGGCCACAGAGGGCCTCTGAAAGACTCTGCCCAGCAGGATATTAAAGCAGATGCTGAGAATTATAGCCAAACTTTGGGCAGAGTACAGGGAATCTTATGAAAGAAGGGGGAGATAGAAAGACCTGGAAGGGTCTGGAGCTCTACAAGGAGAACAACAGAACCAAAATTCTGGGCACAGGGGTCTTCTCTGAGACTGATACTCCAACCAAGGACCATTCATAGAGATAACCTAGAACCCCTGCACAGATATAGCTTCTGACAGCTCAGTCTCCAAATGGGCTTCCTAGTAATGGGAACAGGGACTGTCTCTGACATGAACTCAGTGGCTGGCTCTTTGATCACGCCCCCCTGAGGAAGGGGGGTGGGTCAGCCTTACTAGGCCACAGAAGAAGACTATGAAAGACAGTCTTGATGAGACCTGATAGGCTAGGGTCAGATGGAAGGAGGTTCTCCCCTATCAGTGGGCTGGGGAAGAGGTATGGGAGGAGAAGAGGGAGGGAGGGCGGGATTGGGAGGGGACTAGGATGGGGGCTACAGCTGGGATACAAAGTGAATAAATTGTAATTAAAATTATATTAAAAAAGAAAAAAGATTAAGAGTCAGCATTTTAGACAATATTGTTTAACAGTGGTGATGTTTACTGCTCTAGTCTATGGCATGAACCTAGGAGAGCAGGACCTAAAAATGAGGTCAGCTGAAGTCTCATGCAATTGGCAACTATTATTCAGAGTATCAGACAACTTATACTCTGAGGGTTAAGAGTAACATGAGTAAAGTGTACAGTCACAAAGCCAAGCCACTTGTGGCAAAAACAGATTTTTCCATAGAGGCACATGAATACCAACAGCTGAAGTAAACTCCTAGTAAACTATCCACTACACCTGGGAGGAGCACAAAACACATTCCAAGAACAATTCTGTGTTTTGAAGAAACTGAGGTCACAGGACCCTTGTCTTGTTTTCTGGAGTTTTCTCACAAGCACTCAGAATTCTCACAGAATTTCGCTTTTTTTTTTTTACATTTTTTTAAATTTTTATCAATTACAGTTTATTCACTTTTATCCTCCCTGTAGCTCCCTCCTGTACCAATCCCATCCTTCCTTCCCTTCTCCACCCGCCCCTCCCCCAGTCCACTGATAGGAAAGAACTTCCTCTCCTTCCTTCTGACCCTAGTCTATCAGGTCTCATCAGGAGTGGCTGCATTGTCTTCCTCTGTGGCCTGGTAAGGCTGTTCTCCGCTCAGGGGGAGGTGATCAAAGAGCAGGCCAATCAGTTCATGTCAGAGATAGGCCCTGTGCCCATTACTATGGATCTCTCTTGGACACTGAACTGCCATAGGCTACATCTGTGCAGGGGTTCTAGGTTATCTTCGTGAATGGTCTTTGGTTGGAGTATCAGTCTCAGAGAAGACCCCTGTGCCCAGATTTTTTGGTTCTGTTGCTCTCCTTGTGGACATCCTGACCTCTCTGGGTCTTACTCTCTCCCCCTTCTTTCATAAGATTTCCTGTACTCTTCCCAAAGTTTGGCTATTAGTCTCAGCATCTGCTTTGATACCCTGCAGGATAGAGACTTTCAGAGGCCCTCTGTGGTAGGCTCTTGTCCTGTTCAGTGTTCCAACATAGACATTTCTGCAAGATGCTTAAGTAATATGTTTGTAAGCTTTAACACTTGCATAGTCTGATATTAAATTTTATTCTAAGAAAATTCTTACAATAAATGACAATAGTAACATTAAAATATGTTATCTTACCTGAAATTGTTGAATTGTTGAAACAACTTTGAGAAATTGTGTCTTATTAAGCTTATATTCTTATTATTAAACTATCCCGGTAATGCTACTGATTCATGTAGGAAAAGGATTGCTTTTTTGTGTCTGTATCAATAGTATGTTTAGTGTTGGATGTTTCAAAGCATTATAATAACACTGAAGTACCACTTTTTTGTTTTAAGTGTAAAGTTTATTAAGTATAAAGTTTATTTGACCTTCAGTCAAGATGTTAGATATCTTTTTGTTAAAATTTGTTTACTCTCTGTCAATTCTTTTTTGTGTGTAGCATATCTATAAAAATGCCTTAGAAAAGAGACATGGAGAGGTATGTTAGACTACAGAAGATTGGAGAAGGTTCATTTGGAAAAGCTGTTCTTGTTAAATCTACAGAGGATGGCAGACATTATGTTATCAAGGAAATTAACATCTCAAGAGTAAGTATAGTTTTAGTTCGGTTGCACAAGTAATAATTTGGTTACAATAGGACATTTTATTAGAGAACTGTGTAACCTAATGAGGAAGAGTGCTGTAATCCCACCGAGAACCACTAATTTCTGAGGAATCTGTCTTTTCTGATTTTTTTCTGATATGGGCCTGTACTTGTATGTAGAAACATATACTTCCTGTCCTGTAACTTAATATAGATGGGGTCCCCAAAGAGGGTTTCAGCATGAACCGGCTCCATTCACTTTTTGTTAACTTACTGCTATCTGTTATTGATGGGCTTGTAACTTTATTAGTGGTTTTACTATTTTACTTTTTCTTTCTACTTAAGATGTCCAGTAAGGAAAGGCACGAATCAAGGAGAGAAGTTGCTGTATTGGCAAACATGAAGCATCCAAACATTGTCCAATATAAAGAATCATTTGAAGGTCAGATATTTTGCAAACATTTAAAATAAGCTCTGAGACACTTATAATTTTGGGGTATTTTATGTATAAGGAATTATTTGTGAATGTATTTTTAGGGGGAAAAAATGAGGTTTTTGTTTGTTTGTTTAATCCCTATACATGTAAGTATCAGTTTGATTCTAGGATAGTGTTAACACCAAACTGCCCCCTTGTAGCTTAATACTGATTCATTGTTAGTAGTGATTACTTAAAAAGAAGCAGTATAGTGGAAAACTTTGGAGGACAAATTAACAATAATTAACATTTTAAACTTGACATTCCATATTAGTATTCCTACCACTAATACTGAGAAAATGTTCTGATCTTGAGTTTTAAAAATAATTTCTTTATTTTTGACAATTTCATGCATGTATAATTTAATCGTATTTCACACACATCTCATTTCTGTCTTCTTCCCAGCATTCCCTCTTCCAACTTTCGTGGCTTCTCTCTCTGTCTCTTTGTCTCTCTTTCGCTGTCTCTCTCTTTTAAATAACCCACTAACTATAATTAGGGTTGCTTGCATGTATGTAGGTGTCGGGTTATTTATTGAATCTTGGGAAGTTTACCAGTTGGTTACACCCCTGAAGAAAACTGACCCCTTCTTCCTCAGTACCCAGAAACTGCCATATCTTTTCATGTAGGAGTGACCCCTCATGTGCCCTTCCCCAGTCTGTCTAGAATCTTAACAGGCTCCATCTTCACCTACAAATACATGGATGATTTAACAAGGGAGGCTCATTCTTTACATGTGACTTTGCTGTATTTTTGTTGTACTTCATTTTTAACAATACATGCTTGTGATACATGTTCAGAAGGTATAGGCATAAATGACTACAAGTTCTCAGTTCTTCTAATTTCACCCTCATTTGAACTTCCTGGGAATTAGCATGGTTGACAACCCAGTGTTTATTCTGAGCCGGTTTACTGTGCCTACATGACATTCTGTGTTAGGGAAACAAAGTCCTTGTTTTCCCCTCTGCTCTTTTACCACAATGCTCAAGACTTCTGTGACTTAAAAGGTGTGGAAGTCTTTCCAGTAGCTAACAAGCATCTCTGCAGTGGATAGCAGCTCAAAGCCCTCTAATCCAGTTCCCATCAGACACTGTCTGCCTGCAGGTAGTGTCATGTAGCCCAGATTGGGGACAGTCCCCACGCTGTCCCTATTTCAGATCCGTAACAAGTCCAGACCTGTGAATTTCTTCCAAATTTGCTACAAATGGACGCTCCTGTGACTTCCTTTCAGATCTGATTAATTTGCTACAGCAGCTCACAGAACTCCAGGAGACAGTACTTAATAAAGTTATAATAAACATGAGACATACATACATATACTCATGTATATCTTTTATAATGAACACATGTACACACCACAAACTGGTAGAAAACAATAGTTAAAATATCTGGGGCATTTTGGCTTTTAAACGAAGAGGTGGTAAAGTAAGAAAAGAGTACTAGAAATAGCCAAGCAGTGTGCTTGTACTAATATTTTCTAACTTACATTCTATTAATGTTTTTCTGGCATGCCCTCACTTATTTTCTTATGTGTCATTGTCACTTGGCTTACCTGGGTTTTGTTTTTTATTTTGAATTTGAAACTGCTTCAGCTTCAAGCAGTTTCTAAGGTAGTGGCTGTTTTGGGTGTTTGGGGTGTCTTTAAAAATTCTGTGAGGGTATTTGTGTATCTGTAATCTTGTGCAAAGTAATCTGACAAAAGTGGGATAAGATGTTAGAAGGAATGCATATACATTTTATCTCTAACAGAAAATACTTTTCTATATTAATTATATATTTAAGTATATATTGACTGGGTGTGGTACCAGACACCTACATTACTAGTATTAGGTAGGTAAAGGCAGGAAGATTGAGAGATTGAGGCTAGCCTGGGCAACAATATATAGAGAGTTTGGCAAGCAAGCATTCAGGCAGGGGGTGGATGGTTAGGAGGGAAGGGAGGGGGATATTGGAAGGAGAGAACAAATGATAATTTTACCTCTAAATAATAGGTATCTGAATAGCAGAAAATGTAACTAGTTCATGTGCTAAATTCTCAACATTTCTCAAATTTGTTTGTGTTCTGTGTAACTTCCCTTAGTCGCCCCTCGCCCTTTCAAACACAGGGCTTCTGAGGAAGCACTTCCACTAAGTCACATCTCCATCTCTGACACAGGATCTTGCCATGTAACTCAGATTAGGCTCAGAATTTCAGTCTTTCTTCTTCAGCCTCCTGGCATAACACTTAGCTTACAGAGCATAGAAGGTTTGCTATAAACAGTCGTCGAAAGACCATCATTTTTTCCTTGAAATTATCTATTGTTACTGCTTTTGTTTCCTCCCAAAAATAGTCTAAGTACTAATAAGTATTTAAGTGATGACATATTATATGCAACTTATGGGTTATATAGAGGCTTTCCCCCCCATACTGTCATTTTTAAGGTTTATTTTATGTATGTTTGCTTATATGTGTCTTAAGTATACCATGTGCATACTTTGTGCTCTTGGAGGTCAGAAGGCAACATCAGATCCCATGAAACTGGATTTATCAGTGATTTTGAGCCACCATGTGTGTGCTGGGAACCAAACTTAGGTCCTCTCCAAGTGTTCTTAACCACTGAGTCGTCTCTCCAGTCCATTTAATTTTGTCATTTTCAGTGTGTATATTTAGATGATCTTTCCTTCCCAGTAACAGTCCTGCAGATTCTTAATTTATTCCAGATAAGTTTCTAGTTCTAATGGAATATTATAGGCAGTATATCAGAAGAGTATATAAGAACCCTCAATAAGAGTGCCATCACATTCGGAGAGAAAGAAGACTTTCTAGAAATATGGCCATTGTGCAGATTGTAAGGACATAAGAAGTAGGGACACTATCCTTTCAGTTGTGATAATTTCCTTAGTCATTGTTCAGCAGTGTTACAAGCGATATTGACCACTATTCTTTTGTTTAAAAAAACGAAACAAAAACAACAATAAAAAAAAAAAAAAAAAACGCTGGTGGTGGAAGGAATGATTGTTTTCTAGATCTTTCTCCATGCATAAAGGTATAAAAGATACAAAACTGATTAAGGCTATTTGTTTTCAGAGAATAAAAAAAACTCGGGGTCAGAAGTGGAGGCTGTGCCTTACTTGCTGTTGAATCCTCAAAGTTCATTATAGCATTTATTGTCGTGTTTGTGTTTAGTGAACAATTAATTCAAGTGAATAATTCAAAACTGAAAAGTAGTCATTTCAAGTCTAAAATATGGACTCTGAAAAGCTGTTGGGAAAACATGACTATATAGCATTTAAGGAAATTGAGCGAAAGTATATTGTTCTGCATTTTATTTATGTTCTCGAAGTATTAAGGAGAGAATGAACAATGTTCTCTACTCAGATGGTATATTCCTGGTAGAAAAATGGCTAATACATAGTTGCCTAAAACTTAAGTCATTGTACAAGCTGTATAGGCAGAGTACCTAGACTTTGTGTCCTAACATTTTGAAGATTGTCTGCTCTTTTGTTTAGCTGCTGCTTTTAAGCAAATCTTTAAGTACCTTAATTTAACTATGCTTTTGATGCAATATTTTAAAAATGGGATTTAATGTTTATATTTTGTAGAAAATGGCTCTCTGTACATAGTAATGGATTACTGTGAAGGAGGGGATCTGTTTAAACGAATAAATGCTCAGAAAGGCAGTTTGTTTCAAGAAGACCAGGTACGTTGGCATGGAGGAGCTTGATTCCTACTCCATTACCAAGAAGCAACTCGAAGTGTGATTTTGTATGTATTCATTTGGTGGTGGTGCAGGGGTGGGGAACATGGCTGGCCTGGAACTTCTGCTCATCCCACATTTACCACTTGAGTGCTGAAACTATAGACATTGACACTATAGACATGCCACCACACCCAGGTATATATATTCGTTTTTAACTATGGATGCTAATCATAATTGGTAGGACAGGCTGGTATTAGAGCCAATATTTTAGTCACATCTCTAATTAGCTACCATCTTTTTTTGTTCCGTCTCATTTCCTATCTATAATATATTCTTGTCTGTGTAGTATAAACTACATCTCACATGCATATCTATGTATATGCTTGCATAAGTGTATATAACCTAATTATTCATTATAACTGGTTAATTATTGTGTCCTGTCAATCTGGCTTATTGCTGCCAGATAATATCTTCCAGAAAAATTACCTTGCTAAATAATTCTAGTTCTAGAAGCCTTACATTTTCAGCTTCATGAAATCTGACTTGACTACTGAGGTCTCTTCAAGTATGGCCTACCTTACCCAAGCAGCCTTATTTTTAGATGTTTTTTGTGAAACTGTCTACCCCTTGTCAGTTATTTTAGCAGATATTTGTGGAACATGAATTTTATGTTGTTGAGCTTTGTATTTGTACATCTATTTTATCTTGATTATTTTTATTACATCTTTGCTCAGCTGTCTTTTATTATTCTACTCTGTTGTTTAAAGTTCAGTGCAAGTCCCAGCTGTTGGAGGCCAGCTCTGGGAGTGTATTCCGCAGTCTAAGGAGATGTGGGTGGGCAGCTAATGTAAAGCAGGCACTCACTTATCCACATTTGGTGGATGAAGCAAGGCTCCAACACCTTTATTTTTTCTAGCACTGATTAACACAATTTGAGCTAGCCAAATATTTTTAACAGTCAGTTTCTCTTGTACTGGCAGGTAGCAGTTTGTGGTTACAAGAAAGGAAATAGACATAATCTTACTCAATCTTAATACAATTCTTACTCATCTAGTATAGTTAACCTTCTTCCTACTCTTATACAGTTTTCATAATAAAGTAAATGTATAGACAACTGTAGAACTTTAGGTCAGAGATGTTTTTGTTTCCTTGAGACAGTAAAGAAGAATCTATTTAGTCTGCATGCTGCACAGCACTAAGCCCCCAGCTGCACACCAAAGTTCACCAGCAAATTTATAGTTATTAAACCAGTAAAATCAGATTTTACAATGGGCACAGCAGCTCAATCTTAACAGTGGGCACTGAGATCAAATTACTGTGTTTGATCATTAGCCTGTCCCCTGTAGATGAAACTCCTTTGTTCTTAGTCGCTGACCTTAACAGACCTTTCATTTAGTAACTCAGAATGTGCTTTTTATTTTTATGTTTTACCCTAGGTTTTCTGCTACAAAGCAGCTGGCAAAACACCCTGACCTGATTTAATTCATTATACGAAAAAAGCACCTTGACCTAATCTTTTTAACCATGCATATGTTTAATTTTTCTCCGAAGGTTTTAGTTAAATCATTAATCTATCTGAGTGACGTTGTCTTTTGGGTAAATCACCAGTATTGTTATACATTGTGATTTTATTGCCCAGTGGGGAATTAGAAGCCCCCCAAAAATATTCATACTAGGCAAAAAAAAAAAAAAAAAAAAAAAAAACCAAACAAACAAAAAAAGATGTGACCAAGGCAGCAACACGTACAAGCAGTAGCAAGGGGTCATCTGGATACGAGACCCTCAGGCTTTGCCTCTCAGAGCTGTGCGCCTGGTGGCGTTACTGACCAATAGGTGAGTTGTTTTTGTCAGGCTCCAATACCTATCACCACTCAACTTCTTAAATTTTTCATAATTGGTTTTCTTGGTCTTTTCTGTCTTTAAATTCCTGCTGCATTTCTCTTTGCTACCCAGTCTCAATTTACATGCGTGCTTTTGCATAGGAGAATAGAGGATGCTATTTGTTTTTTTAATTCTTATGATTAGACATTTTTTCCTATTTAGTAGATAAGGACTCTAAGAGAGGTTAAGTCCCAAACCATATAGTGGGTTTTTGAACCTACATCTATATTAGCTTACAAGTTTGTTTGTTTTTTAAAGTCAGACTATGAAGAACACAGTAATGGAAAGGCCTCTTTCCTTACTGCTGTATCTCTGAGATTGCTGCTTAGTTTGGGAATTCACATTTTGGCTCTTTTCATCATCTGGGGACTTAGTTCTTCTTTATCTTTAAGACTAGAGCATCACCTCTCTGGAATTACTGTGTTACTCACTCATTTCTCTAAAAGTCTTTATGGCCCCAATGTAGCTCACTATCTTTGTAAATGAAATTTTATTACAGCATAGTTAAATCTGTTTGCTTGCAAATAACTTATGATTGCTCTATTACTACAATGCAAAAGTTAAGAGACCATATTTGAGCCTCAGCTGTGCACTGTAATCCTCACCCCCTTTTTCTCTATTTTTGTTGTTTTGTTTTGTTTGTTTTATTTGAGATAGGGTTTCTCTGTGTAGCCTTGGCTGTTCTGGAACTTGCTCTTTAGGCCAGGCTGGCCTCAAACTCAGAGATCCACCTGCTTCTGCCTCCTGTGGGCTAGGATTAAAGATGTGCACCGCCACTGCCCCCATTTCTCTCACTCTTTACAGAATAAATTTGCTGACCCTAACCACTGAGCTCTTTTAGTAACATTTTGCAAGGTTGATTCCTGCACATATGTATACATTGTTGAATGTATTTCTGACAAAAAGAACAGGTATGGAGAACACAGTAACAGAAGAACTCTGTGTGCCCTTTTTACTCATTTCCTCAGTAGCTGGACTCCGCTTAGTCTTTTCATTGTCTCTTCTTTTTTTCCTGCCCGCCTCTCCGCTGTCTGCCTGTTTTTGTAGATAGCTTCACTTAGATACATATTTCATTACAGGTTTGTGAGTCTCTACCACTGTGGTACTCTTAAAAGTCATTTTTTTTCTACTCAGAATCCCTTATATCACTGTGGACAGGCATTTCAAATTTTATGCTAGCCTTACACAGAAAATATCTTTAAAAAAAACTGATTCGGTGTTTCAGTTTTAATATTTGTTTTTATTATTTTTAGAAATATGATTTTTACCAGGTGAGCCTTCTGTTGCTGCCACAAGTGAGGGGATGTTTCATTAGGGAAATTACTGTAAAATTAATTTTACACGACTTTAAATGTGCTATTTTTCCTTAATAATACTAAAAAGAAGAGTAACAAGTTGTTACCTTTTATTATCTTCTGCAGTCCACTTCTGTAATGTTAAGCCTTCCTTATTGGTTTCCTTCTCTTTCCTCATTCCTTCTGTCTTTCTTTTACACACACACACCAGGAACAGGCGCACACATACACTGTAAGGACAAAGCATAATTTATACAGTTAAGAGGCGATAGAAGATGTGCTTTTCTTAGAACTGGGATTTTTTTTTTTTAGAACTGCAATTTTCTGTGTTCAGTTAATAATGCATATCTCCATACATAGAGGTACTTCATTCTCAGTGGCTGCATACAACAGGGCTGTCATCGTATATTTTATCAGTCCCATTAATGGACATGTAGATTGTTCAAGAAACAAATGGTTCTAAGCCACACACCCCTTGTGTACATATTTTGGCATTTCTAATATTGCTTCTGGAGTAAATTTGAAATTGCAATTACTAATTTGAAAGGGATATGAAATTTAAATTTTTATGTTTTGTCAGATGACTACCACCTCCACAAAAATGAGGTATGAAAGACATCACATTCTGAGCAATATTATGTATTATTTGAGGTTAAAATGGACCTTCCTTAGTTACTCTTTTTAATTTGAAAAGTTAGTATTTTTGTATGTGCTTATTGTCCTTTTTTCCTTCTGTATCATCTGTCACCTCTTTTTTTAGTCACCATCATTTTTCTCAGGGATGGGAAAGATATTTTGCATATTTGAGAATTAGCCATCTATAATTATTCAAGCATTTCTCAAATTTGTATTGAGCGTGACTATATATTTTGCAATGAAGATGTTTTAAATTTTATATAGCAAAGTTATCTTGAGACTTTGGAGGGGGTTTATTCTCTATGTTCTGTTTTGAAAATCATGTGTCAGTCAAAAAGTATTAAAAATTGACATTTTATTTTTATCACCGTTTAAAAATACTATCTAATTGGGATTATTTGGCATGTAGAGTGAGGTGGAAATTAAGTTGATTTACTTCTAACTGATAATTTCAGAGAATGTTTACATGTGGTGAGGTTGGTTAGAGAGATTCGATAGATGCATTCAAGATTTGTATCCTGATATTTTCCTTTTGTAACTTTTCCCTATGTTGAAAAACTATAGAAAAAAAAAAAAAAAAGGTAAGCCTAACAAACTCACCCAGCTACCGCTAGTATTATAAAGTAGAAGTTACTTACATTTTTCATTCTTCAAGTTTAACATATTTATTTCATTGTATGTGACACTTTTAGGATGTGTTATACCCCTTTCTCTTGTTAGTTGGCTTTAATACCCACTAGTGTTAGTTTCTGCAAAGTATAAAGAAATCATAGCCTAACTGTTTTTAATCTGATGTTTCTCTCTAGATTTTGGACTGGTTTGTACAGATATGTTTGGCTTTGAAGCATGTACATGATAGAAAAATTCTTCACCGAGACATAAAGTCACAGGTATGTTCATTATAGTCTGTCACTAAGAGCCTTTTTTTTTTTTTTTTTTTTTTTTTTTTTTGTAAGCAGAGGGTCTCACAGTTTTGCTCATTTTGTCCTGAAACTCATGTAGCCTAAACTGGCTTCAAACTCTCAATGATCCTCAGACCTTAGCATCCTTAGTGCTGGGATTACAGGTATGAGCCTCCATGCCAGGCAATCACTTCTGTATGACTAAAACAATAGCTCTCATTCTTTCATTCTGTTCTGTTCACTGAAATAATATACCATGTTGGTCCCCCCATCATGTATTCTACCATAGTAGCTCTTTCACTTATTTTTTTAGTCTTGTCTTTCTTGATTTACTCTTCTTAGAATAAAGTATATCAAAGAAATAGATATATAGAAGTTAATTTTTGAAATTCTGCTTGTCTATGTCTAACCTTATTCCCGTTTCTCTAATTAATGATAATTTGGATATAAATTGCTGGATTAGAAATTGTTTTTCTACAAAATTAGAAGATAAGGTTCATTTGTCTTTTTGGTATCAGGAATTGACATTTAGAACTTTCAAGCCATTGTGATTTCTTTTTTTCTTTTCCTGAAAGATTTAAGATTTTTCTTTGTGCCCTTTGTTCTGATATTTTGCCAAGTTGTGTGTTGGAGAGGTTTGTTGTCCATTCAGTATACTGTGCCTTTTTGTGTGAGAATCTGTGTATCCTCTAGAAATGTTCTGGAGACCTTCTTGGTTTCTGGATCTTCTTTTAAATGAATCTTAATAGAGTACTTCAGATGTCTTTTTTTCTTTCATATTTTTCTCGTTTCTTTATTGAATATTAAATGAATTATTTTCCCCATAAACTAAGTCTATACTTCTTTCTTTTGCCTTTTTCTTCTTAGTGGTCCCAGGATCAAACCCAGAACATGCTGGGAAAGCACTTTACCTTGAATCTCGATGTATAGCCTCAAATCCCTTTTAAATTTTCTGTAAGCTAGCATTTGTCTCATCCTCCACAGTTTTTACTGTAATGACCATTTTTTTTTTTAAAAGGGATATATTGTTTATCTCTATTGGATACTTTGTCAGTTCTTGTCCACTCCCTTGATATTTTGTTGAATTCTGAAATTGTTCCATTCTTGTTTGAACCTCTGGAATGTGAATATTTCAGGTTCTTTGCAGTACTTAAGCATATTTACAGTTGCTGTTTTGTCACACTGTCTTATAAGTTTCTATTTGTCTGAGTGTCTCTGTGGGCAGGCCAGGCCGACCTTGACTTTGTAGTGGTGCTGCTGCCTCTTCCTCCTCGGAGCTGTGGTCCTACGCTGATGAGTTAAATTTGTAGTGAATTCTCACATCCTTAATGATTTCATTGGCTTTTTTAAAACTAGATTTCTTCATGTTTAACTAATTTTTGTCCAGACTCTTTGTGGGAAGTGTTTTATTTCCAGAGCATGTGAGTATACATGCGTGTGATTCGATGCTAGTAATCAACCTCTGCCCGAGCCTTGGCCTACCTCTTTGTCTTTCACTCAGTCCTCTCAGTTCCCAGAAAGGAAATAGAGATGAGGTACACTTGTGTCACAGCCCTGCTGTCACTTCCTGTACTCTCGCCTTCTTAGACTTGCAGATTGCTGTGGAGTGTAATATTTCAGGGTGAATGATGGTAAATGCTGTCTGGAGTTTCATGGTTCATCTTTCCTATATTCCTCCCTATCTTCTGCCATCAAATTGTCTCCCCTCATTTTACTAATTCTAATCAATCCTTCTGTCATTGAACATGTGCTTGATGCAAGTCTCATGACTGATGAGGGAATTTAATTCCTGTTACTCCATTAAAGTCTTGGTTTTTACTCTTTTATACAGTGTAGAAATCTGGAAAAAAATATTTTAGACTTTTTTTCTTGCTAGGATTATGTTGGTCCGTGAAATATGTGCATAATAGATCCCAGCAGCATAGAAGCACTGTATTTATAAATATAATTGAGTAAACCGTTTTAAATGGAAGGGTGTTTCATGTCTCTCATTGGGAACTCTTAAGGATAATTTGTTATGTTTAAGCCAGTTAGAATTTTTAGGCAGATTTTTTTTTGGTGGGGCAGAGTTGCTCTAAATTTATCTTTTAAAAAGTTTAATTGTAATACATTTACATATTATAAAATTTACCTGTTTAAAGTATTCAGGAGCTGGCAAGATAGCTCATTGGGTAAAGGTACTTGCTGCCAAGTTTGACTAACTGAGTTCAGTTCCTGGGACCCACATGGTACAGGAACAGAGCTGATACCCACAAGTTGTCCTCTGACCATCACACAGATGCCATGCGCGCGCGCGCACACACACACACTACTACTACTACTACTACTAAATAAGAAGTGTACAGGTCACTGATTCTAGCGTATATACAGAATTGTGAAAACTTTGTCTCTAATTCACAGAGTTTTTTTCTCTTCAAAGGAGCATTGCATGCCCATGCCCATGCCCAGTCACACCTATTCCTTGTCCACATAGACTTAGTAGCCACTGATCTCTGCCTGTATATCTGTATTCAGGACAGTTAAGTGAAACTCTGATAATACATGCCTTTATGTAGTTAAAGATGGATTATTTGCTGGTTCTGGTATTCTACACCTTTAATCCCAGCACTCAAGAAACAAAGGCAGGTAAATCTCTGAGTTCCAGGCCAGCCTAGTCTACTTAGTAAGTTCCAAGTCAGCTAAGACTACAATAGTGAGACCCTGTCTCAAGAACAACAACAAAGTGTATTATTCGTCCTTTTGGAGTTGGGTATTGGGAAAGTGTCTCCTGTAGGCCAACATGGCCTTGAACCTAAAATATAGCTGAGAGTGATCTGAACTGTATTTCTTTTTTCTATTCCTCTCTAGTGCCAGGAATGCAGGAGGCATGTTCTACCATGGCAGCTTTGATTATTTGACTTTGTTTTTCAAGATAGAGTTTTTCTGTGTAGCCCTGGCTGTCCTGGAACTCACTCTGTAAGACAAGCTGACCTCAACTCAAAGAGATCCACCTGGCTATGCTTCCTGAGTGCTGGGATCAAAGGCATGCACCAACACCACCTGGCAACTTTTCTTTTGTACTGTTGATTTATAAACGCTTTACTTTCAGGTGCCTCCTTTGCTCAGTAGACTGCATGTCAGTCTCATAAACTCTTTAATTTCATGAAATAAGTTCCTTTTCAAATATATACTGTGCAGATATCTTCTTTCATTCTATAAGTTGTCTGTTCATTTTCTTTCATTAAAAAAATCTACTTGCATTTATTATGTGTATGTGTGCATGTAGGCACATCTGCTCAGGCATGCATCTGGAAGTGAGAGAACAACTCTCAGGAATTGGTTCTCTTTTCGCCATGTGGATCCTGGGGATCAGACTCAGGTTGTCAGGCTTAAGCAGCAGGCACCTTGGCCAGTTAAGCCATCTCACTGGCCCCATATTTATTTTATTGACAATGTCATATGGTGCGCAAAAACTTTTAGGTTTACCTAAGTCCATGTTTTCTTTCTTTCTCTTCAGTTTTATATGATGTCTAAGAAATCTGAGAAACCATTGCCTGCCTCAAAAGCATGACAGTTTATTCCTGTTTTCAGGACTTTTATTGTTTTAGTTCTTACATTCTGTAATCCATTTTGAGTTAGTTTTTGCATATGGTGAGGTAAGTAGGAGGCTACATTTATTCTTTTTCATTGGGATATTCAGTTATTCTAGCATAATTTTTAACTAGAATGATTTTTCTGAAAAACAATGTTATCTAATAGAACTGGACAGAAACTATTTCTGTTTGTTTTCAGTTTCTTTCTTTCTTTCTTTTACAGAACATATTTCTAACCAAAGAAGGGACAGTACAGCTTGGAGATTTTGGAATTGCTCGAGTTCTTAATAGGTATCCTAACAGCTTTAAGTGTTATTTTAATATGGTGTCTTCAGTAAAATTGAATCTGTTGTAGCATATATATAATAACTTATAATAGCTCTGTCTTAAGCTTCTTTAATAACTTTATTTTTCTAGTACTGTAGAGCTGGCTCGAACTTGCATAGGGACTCCATACTACTTGTCACCTGAAATCTGTGAAAACAAGCCTTATAACAATAAAAGGTATTTAAAATGATGCTCAACCCATGATACATTTGTTTTAAACCTTTTTGTCACACTCTATTAAATAGCCTTGATAATACTATTTTAAAAGCAATGATTTTGTGTAAGCATTTATATCTTAAGATTTTTAGTATATGATGGGCAATTATAACGGCACTCTTCTATCTCATTGGAAGAACTCAACAAGTAGTATTTTACTGCTTGTTATAGTTAGGAATAGAGTGCTCTCTTTGTCACAGTTCCTAGTGAGCTCTAGACAGTAGTGTAGAATGCATGCTAGATTCTCAATAACAAAAACAAAAACCAACTTCTTTGAAATGCCTCAGCCTAGTACTCATCCAAGCTGCTAGTAGATTGTGTGTCCTGTTATTGAGGACAGTCCCATAATTTCTGTGACGTCTTTTCCTCTCCTTTCCGAGGGAGAGGTCCCAACCAAGAAACACTTTTTGGTTTGCTGTCCTACTGGATTGTAGTAAATTAATTTTTTTCATTTTGTAATATTTTTTTAATTGAGTAGAGTATGTTGAATTTTGCAAAATAAAAAAAATGAATGGAATGTGGTTTTGATACCATCCTTTTAAATATTAAATTTCTTTGATGAAATTTCAGTGTAATACTTGGTCAACTCTTTTTCTAAATTGAGGTAGTTGCTTTTATATCTAGTTTGGAATTTTGAGTTAAAAAAGTACCTTATACAGCATATTTCCCCCTAAGTGCACATATTTCTACCAAGTTTTTCATGCTATTTGTTTTCTTTAAATGAAATAAATAAATTAGTATATTCTGATATTTAAAAAACTTCTCACTTTTATCTTCCCAGTGACATTTGGGCTTTGGGCTGTGTCCTCTATGAGTTGTGTACACTTAAACATGCAGTAAGTAAAAGTTCTGATGTTTCTAAAGTTGTGGCATCTTTCAGATAACACAGATTAAGGTTTTATTTTTTGAAATGCAATTTTAAACTGATTTAGTCTTTTTGTTTGTTTTGTTTTGTTTTTCCAGACAAGGTTTCTCTGTGTAGCCTTTGCTGTCCTGGATCTGTCTTCATCATAGTCCAGGCTGGCCTTGAACTCACAGAGATCCTCCTGCCTCTGCCTGGCTTTAAATTAAAGGCGTGCTCTACTGCTTGCCTGGCTGACTTAGTCTTATCACATATTTGCTCTTATTACATTTTGTACTTTTATCCCATAAACATTTTTTTTCTAATGCTACAAACATCTCATTCTTCTTCATGTACATTCATTTACTATGAATTTGTTTTACCCTAATATTTTTTAATTAGTTTCATTATGGCAGGTTCTTTCATACCACACATTTTTAGCTGGGTATGGTGGACAAGCTGTAATTCCAGCATTTGAGAGGCTAAGGGCTGCATTTGAGGGCTTTAGGGCCTGTTTGAGCTACATAGCAAGATTCTGTGTGAAAAACAAAACAAAAATTAAAAGCATCCAAATCTTTGAGTTTGTTATTGGAAGTTATTTAAAGAATTTTATTTTCTGTGATGACCAGAGTGTGGTTTTCTATTAAAAAATAAACTGCCAGTATAGAAAAGAAAAACAAGAAAATAATTTTGTTAAGTTTATTTTTCAAGTAATGCATGTGTCACAAGTAATGCACTAGTCACATGTACTTGATAATGTGGGAATGTTTGCACGTGCTATGTATAAGGTTTGTAGGTACCCAAGAGGGCCCCCACATCAATGTCTGCTGTCATGCCTTGCTTGCTTTCCCTCTTTAGTTTTTGAGACAGGTTCACAGAATCTGCTCATTATTAGGCTAGTTAGCTTTCAGTAAGATGTAGAGAGGCTCACAGAATCTGCTCATTAATTAGGCTAGTTAGCTTTCAGTAAGATGTAGACAGGCTCACAGAATCTGCTCATTATTAGGCTAGTTAGCTTTTAGTAAGATGTAGGGGTCCATCTGCTTCCACCCACAACCCACCCTACTGGAGGTGTAGACCCATCCATCTTTTACATGTGTTCTGGGGTTCTGAGTACACATTCCTTTGCTGACGGATGCAGCAGACATTTTACCTACTGAGTATATCTCCAGCCTCTTATCAAGTAATTCTGTCATATTAAATACCATTATATTATTTACAGTTTTCACCATTAGCACTTTTTAAGTAGTATGATATATACCAAAAAGAGATAGTTCTTGTTAAAATATATTTAATTTTAATAACTTTGTTTTTTTGTCTTTTCAAGACAGGGTTTTTTTGTGTAACCTGTCTTGGAATTCACTTTGTAGACCAGGCTGGCCTGGAACTTAAAAAGATCCACCTGCCTCTGCCTCCTGGGTACTAGGAGTAAAGGTGTGTGCCACCATGCCTGGTTGACTTTTTCATTTTTATACTCTCTTTTTAAGCATGTTTCCCTCAGTGATTAAACAATACTATATTTTCATCACAAAGAAAATGTCAGGAAATACATAAAATTGGAAAGCAGTAAGTACCTTAAGCAATTCTAACAAGAAACAACTGCTTATATTTGTTGCTTTCCTCTAAGTTTTGTTCTAATTTATAAGTTGAATTACTTCTCTCCCAGAGTTTGATTATATTATATAAGCAGCTTTATGACCTGCTTTTATTATTTAATATTTGAAGTCTGTCTTTCTTATATTATTATTTGTTGATGTGTTTTTACATTTATATGAATGTGATGTGTGTGTCCATCACATGAATGCACGTACTATTGGAGGTCAGAAGAGTACATCTGAAGATGGTCCTGAGCTACCTGATGTGGGTGCCCAGAACCAAACTTAGGTTCTCTGGAAGAGCAGAATGCCCTATAAACTGCTGAGCTATCTCCCCTGCTGCTTGTTTTAAATGTCTCCACAAGCATCTACTGTATTGTCTTAAATCTTATTTTTCCCTAACATATCTCGTCAAGATTGAATGCACTTACATTCTTAGAAAGAGAATGAAATTAAATTTCAAATGTTCTTGGAGAGCTTAACATTTATTAGGAGTGCTTTTTTATAATGGGCATTGCTGGTGCCTAACCTATAGTAGGCATTCTGTTCTCTTTGTGTATTGAGAACACTCGAGATTAATACAACTGTCCTGTTATTTTAGCAGAAATATCAAGGCTGATTGTTTTCCTGTTATGAAATCTATGCTCTTTTTGGTGTATATGATTGCACATAGCTATAGATTCCTAATGACATTTTCGTTCTGGTGGCACATCTATAATCTCAGCCCTTGGCAGGCAGAGACATGGGAACTACTACAAGATCTCTACTAGTTTGGCCTTCAGATTGCGTTCAAGCCCATCTAGTAGTACATAGTAAGATGCTCTCTCTAAAATAAAGACAGATGATGTACTTTGAGCAAATTCACCCTCCTCATACCCTTTATATCCTTCTCCTTGTCCTCCTTAACTAACTTTTCCCAGTTTTGTATTGACTTCTGTGTGTGCCTGTGTGTGTGTATATAAGTATTTGTCTTCTGAGTTTGGCTTATTTACTTAATATAAGAATCTGCAGTTGTATCCGTTTTCTTTCAAATTACATATGGAATGAAATGCATTGCATATTTATGTAAATATTCTTTTAAATTTTTGTCTTGAGAGTCCCAGACATTCATGCAGTATATTTTTATCATATTGACTCTCTACTCCCTTCTTTGACTCCTCTTAAATCCTCTTCTCAGTTCTGCTCCCAACGTTTCATGCTTTCTTGTTTTCTCTGAATTTTGAATAATCTACTAAGTCTAGTTAGTGCTGCCCTTAAGTACATAACTGTGGGGCTATCCACTGGAGCTTGGTTGGCCTGCCGGGGTCCATAGCCCTGTAGAACACTGACTTTCTGCCCTCCAGCAGACACCAACTGTCAGTAGTTCCTTAGCCAGGCTGGGGGTTTGTGATCTCCCTATTTATACACATTTTTTTTAAATCCATTCATCTGTTGACATATACTTGGGCTAATTCCAGAATTTCACTTTTGATGTACAGGTATCTCTGTAATATGCTTAATTAGATTCTTTGGGGATATATTCCAAATATATATAGGTGTTATTGCTGAATTATATGTTATTTGCATATTTTTTAATTTTTTGAGCAACCTGTATGCGGATGTCCATAGAGGCTAGTCTAATTTACATTCTTACTACTTAGTATATGAGAGTTCCCTTTCTCATATTTGTTTTGTTTTCTTACTGATAGTCATTCTGACTAGGAATGGAATCCCAATATACTTTTGATTTGTGTTTCCCTGGTGACTAATGATGTTGAACATTTTTTCATGTGTTTACTTACCAATTGTATGTACTCTTGTGAGAACTATTGGTTCATTTCATTTTCCCATTTCATGAAGTCTTTAGATTTTAAACTACCTACCTGTGTATTCTTTTTATTTCAGTTACAGTTTATTTTATATTTAAAACTAAAACATATCTTCCTATTAATATCTTATACCCCCCATTGGATTGATGATTCTTTGGAGAGCCTTTTCCCTCCCCTCCTATGCCCATAAACAAGGGTAATGATGGACATGGCCTAAGGATAAAGTCATTAGGAATTCTCTTATCTCTACTTATTTTGCTCAAATTCTTTTCACTCAGTAGTTTAATTTTTTTTTCTTCTGGTTATTACAGCAGAGGCAGAGAAAACCAGGTCTTGAATGAAGAATACTAGGTTGCATAACATTTAATCATCTTGATTTTTGTTATTTATTATAAAATCTTAATTAATATATTTATACCTTACCTCTTGGTGTGTTGAATAAACAATTGGATCTTACTCTTATAGCAAATTATATTTTACTTTTTGAAAACAGCCTTTTGAAATTATAGGTAATTAAGTAAAGTTTATAGAAAAGTATGCTGATTGAATTATCTGAGAAAGGCTTGTATTTCTATTCTGTATTACTAGAAAAAGAACTATTGCTCATTACTGATATTTCCCATTTCAGTTTCTTTATGTTTTATATGTGTGCATTTCTTTTCTGGATTTTAGTTTGAAGCTGGAAACATGAAAAATCTGGTACTGAAGATAATATCTGGATCCTTTCCTCCAGTGTCTATGCATTATTCCTATGATCTCCGCAGTTTGCTCTCTCAGTTGTTTAAAAGGAATCCTAGGGATAGACCATCAGTCAACTCCATATTGGAGAAAGGTTTTATAGCTAAACGAATCGAAAAGTTTCTCTCACCTCAGGTATGTCTCAGTGTAACCTCTAAAGTTAAATACTAAGGTTCTCGTGCCCAAGGGCAGGACTGGAGCTATTAGCACAGAACCCAGGCTAAGATGTCCTTCTCAGACTACACTGGGGTCCTTTCTTTTCCCTCTGGTTCTAATTGAAATGATTAAACCTTTCTGTGCTTCACTTTTCTAACCTCTTACCTGTGAGCTATAAGCTAAAAGGTATAGCCATTTTGTGAGATAGCTGTGAGAATTAAATAATAATGTGCATATAGTGCTTAATGTCTATCACATACATGTGTGCTCAGAGTACTTAATGTTTTATCAACATATCAGTTGATTACACTAGATAAGTATATCAGCATAATTTATGGGATTATGATTGTATTTGACAAAATGGTTGAAAACCATGCTTCTGTGGGCATATGTAAGTGCACATACTGTATTGCTGTATCTCATACTTCTTCCTCTAGTTCAAATATTGGTGCAAAACAATTATTTATGGAGGTAATTGAATTTAATTTGGCGTGGTTTATAAAAATGTGTCAAGTCAAATGGCATCTATTACTCAAAAAATGTGATCACCTGAAATTCATGTTTATTGTAACCTATATTAATTAGCATTAATTTTTTTAAAGACACAGCTCTGTTTTTTTTAAAAAAAAAATATTTATACAGTATTCTGTCTGCATGTTTGCCTGCAGGCCAGAAGAGGGCACCAGATCTCATCATAGATGGTTATGAACCACCATGTGGTTGCTGGAAATTGAACTCAGGAACTTTGGAAGAATAGCCAGTGCTCTTAACCTTTGAGCCGTCTCTCCAGTCCCACATTAATTCTTTTGTAAATTAGATAGGTAGCAAAACCAAAACCCTATTGCTTATAAATGCTTCTGGTTTAACAAAACATTCCTGAGAACAAATGCTATTCAGAAAACAAGAGATGTGCATTTAGTAAACTTTGGAGGTTAAAGGTTACTTGTATAAAACATGGCAACAATCTCTGAAATGTGGTGTTTTACAAGACTTCTTTGTTAAAAAATAAATTTTTTCAAAGGCTGTCTAAATGCAGTGTACAGTTATTTTTTTAGCAGCTAGCAGCTACGAAACAAAGACTTCATTTAATCTTATTGAAGCTACCTCCTTCTTGCCAGTGTACTTAGAGCATAGTCTCAAGGCTAAAACACTAAAATTCTTTTCCTAGTAATGAAAAGAAAAATATTAAAGTCCCAATTACCAAACATAATACACTAAAGGAAGGAAGATAATGATTAATAACAAATAGAATAACATGTGTTTGATACGTGTCTAGCCCCTCCCTTACTGGTATTTCACCACTGCTTGGATTTACAAAAACTTGCATTCTTTGTTCCTAAGATATATTTTCTATATACCACTTGTTCAACATTCAAATTAGATTCTTTATGCTACATTTTAAGGCTATAATTTTGAAACAGACTTTAACATATGAACTCTTGTTTCTAGTATCACTATATTCATCTATATTGATACATTATTTGTTTTCTCATCATGTAGCCCAACCTCATTGCAAACCTGTGATCCTTCTGCCTCAGCCTTGTTGCAAACCTGTGATCCTTCTGCCTCAGCCTTGTGAATTCCTGGATAACAGGACACCTTTTATTTTTGAGATTAATAGTTTTTCTCAGTGCCATTAGCCAAAATTAGTAGGGTCCAGTTCTCACCCGTGTACACCCTGATAGCATTTTCTTGGATGTGTTGTCACAAACTATGGTAAACATTGACTCATTGGGAGTATAGTCTCTGTCTAGTACAGTTCTCTGTGATGATGAAAGTCGTCCCACATCACAGCTTCTGGTCATGTGTTGTATACTTGGAATGTGATTAGTGTGACTAAGGAACTAAGTTTTAGGCTGTTAATTCAAAAACTTTTAATTCAAATAGCCACATGCTGGTAATGGCTCTTATATTGGACAGCATTCTCATAGTATTCCAGGATCTTGCTGAGTTCTGTACGTTCCATGTCTCAATGCATGTGAACATTTATATAGAACAGGAAGGTCCATATTTGAAGAAATTACTTGATTTGAGGGCAAGTTGTAGGTCATAAAATAGCCATTGTGCCACCCCTAGGGTACAGTTCTATAGTCTCGGCTACTCAAGAGGTCTTGAGGCAGGAAGATCCTAAGTTCAAGGCGAGCCTGGACAACTTAACTAGTTCCCTGTCTCAAAATAAAAACTTAAAAAGAAAAAAGTGAGGTACTGGAGAGATGGCTCAGAGGCTAAGAGCACTGGCTGTTCTTCCTCAAGGTCCTGAGTTCAACTCCCAGCAACCATATGGTGGTGGCTCAAAACCACCTATAGCGCTATCTGGTGCCCTCTTCTGGTGTACAGGCACACATGGAGGAAGAACAGTGTATAAATAAATAATAAATAAATAAATTAAAAAAAAAAAAAGTGAGCTTGGCCTGCTGTGAAGAGTACTCGGGCTTTAGGTCCCAGATAGAGTGCTCCTCTAGCATGTGTGAAGCTTTGAGTCAGTGCTGAACTTCACAGACAATGGAACAAAACCCTCTATTTTTCTAAGAAACAGAGAGAAAGAAATAAATACCTGTATGCAGAGGAGAATGCATTCTCACATACTTGCGCTGAATTGCCTTTGAACCAGACTTGCTCATGTTTATCTTGTACTGCACTAGTTCTCAAATGCAGAAGACACACTTTCCTGGAGGACTTTGCTGGGTTAATTCACTACCATGTTTGCTCCAGTAACTGAGGCAGAACCAGAGAATTTGTGTGTTGCTAACACTATTGATAGTGTTGGTTTCGGATTTTGAGTACTGCTGCCACAGGGGATCTTCAATAGGGGGAAAAATTATCTCAGTTTGTAAATAGTATCTATTGGATGTCTTGTCTACTCCTGAATATTCTTCCCACTATGCCTTCTTTCACTGGAAGTAATGAGAAAACCACTTGGCATTTTACTCTTCACCAATAAGATAAACATAAGCTCAATGGGTTGGATAGGTGGCTCTGTGGTTAAGAGCACTGGATACTCTGCTACAGGACCTGGGTTCAGTTCCCAGCACCCACATGGTCACAACTGTCTTTAAATCAAGTTCCAGGGGATTCTTTACCCATACATAGATATAAATGCAGGGAAAACACCAATGCACATGAAGTAAAAATATAAGTTTAAATTCAGTTAAATCTTTGTTGATATTTTTTAAACTGGAAAAAAATGTAGTTGAAAGTGAAAATTACTTGTGTAAAATATAAACTTGTTTCATGAAATATATTTGTAACGCTGGCTGAGTAATGGAATGTTTATAATGTTAAAAGAGACACCGTGAAAATGTTTATCCAGGGACGTGTTTGCAGATGAGTTGAACTCATTGCAGGTGGTAAGGTAAGGAAAATAATGGCGTTTTCAAGAGAGTAGTTTTTGAAGTGACTCTTGAACAGTTCTGATATAAGTGAAGACTATGGATGCATATAGAACTCAGTGATTCCTCCATACATGTATGGTCAAGTTGCTAAGATATGGAAAAGGCGAGTAATATATGTGTTGTGTATTAGTCTAGTTTGAGAATGAAAGACTGGAGAAGTAATAAAAATACATTAGTAAGATGAACAGGGGCAGGCGGTTAGCAAGAGAATTTGCTGGATGGATAACTGGATTTTAATTCAGTTTATTTAGCAACATCTTTATGACTGCAAGAAAAAATGCATTGTGACGGATGGGTAGCTTTTTTCTTTGTTTAGGAAACCGATTTATTTTTACGGTTGTGGTTGTTTCAAGGCAGGGTCTCACTCTGTAGCACTGGAAGTTCTGAAACTTGCTGGGTAGACAAGGCTGGTTGTGCCTCCACAGTACTGAGTGCACCACTACACTCAGGTGATATCTTTTCTAACAGTGTTTGTTCTCTCTTTCTCTTTCTCTTCCAATCTAAGCTTATTGCAGAAGAATTTTCTCTAAAACCAGGTTCAAAATTTGGACCACAGCCTATACCAGGTAAATTATATTTCACATGAAGCTTTTTATCTGTTTGCAGTACTCAACACTATATATTACAAGTAAATATGGATAGAGAAAAAAAGTTGGGATAGTTATAGACTAAATTTAATCTAAAGGAAATAATGTTAAAGTTCTTATATAGTGATATATATAATAAATTAAAATAATTTTTTTATTATTTAGATGAAATTTGACTTAAAAATTTATCAAAACTTAGATGATATTTTGAGAATACTCTCTAGAATAGTATAAAATGCCCCACAAAATAAAGTTTCTTTCTTTATTATCTATTTATTACAATTTGTTCACTTTGTATCCCCGCTGCAGCCCTTCCCATCTCTTCTCCCAGTCCCACCCACCCTCCCTCTTCTCCCCCTGTGCCCTTTCCCTAGTCCCCTGATAGCGGAGGACCTCCTCCCCTTCTATGTGACCCTAGCCTATCAGGTCTCTTCAAGGATGGCTGCATCATCTTCCTCTGTGCAAGGCTACATCCCCCAGGGGGAGGTGATCAAAGAGCCAGCCACTGAGTTCATGTCAGAGACAGCTCCTGTACCCCTTATTAGGGAACCCACTTGGTAACTGAGCAGCCTATGGGCTTCCTCTGAGAAGGGTTTCAGGTCCTCTCCATTCATGGTCCTTGCTTGGAGTATCAGTCACAGAAAAGAGCCCTAGGCCCAGATTTTTTGGCTCTGTTGCTCTCCTTGTGTAGTTCCTGTCCTCTCCAGGTCTTACTATTTCCCCTTTCTTTTATAAGATTCCCTGCACTCTGCCCAAAGGTTGGCTATGAGTCTCAGCATCTGCCTTAATACTCTGCTGGATAGAGTCTTTCAGAGGTCTTCTGTGGAAGGCTCCTGTCTTGTTCCTTGTCTTCCCCTACTTCCGATGTCAATCCTGTTTGACCTTCTGAATGAGGGTTAAGCATCCTTCCTAGGTACTCCTTGTTGTTTAGCTTCTTTAGGGATATAGATTTTAGTATATTTAACCTCTATCATATGACTAATATCTGCTTATAAGTGACTGTATACCATATGTGTCTTTATGCTTCTGGGTTACCTCACTCGGATGAGGTAATCTTTTCTAGTTCCCACCATATGCTTGCAAATTTCATGATTTCCTTGTTTTTAATTGCCAAATAGTATTCCATTGTGTAAATGTACCATACTTTCTGTATCCATTCCTCCGTTGAGGGACATCTAGGTTGTTTCCAGATTCTGGCTATTACAAATAAAGCTGCTAATGAACATAGTTGAGCATATGTCCTTATTGAATGGTGGGCCATCTTTTTGGGTATACTCCTAGGAGTGGTATAGCTGGATCTTTATTTTTAATTTTTATATTAATTACAGTTTATTCACTTTGTATCCCAGCTATAGCCCCTCTCTCATTCCCTCCCAATCCCACCCTCCCTCCCTCATCTCCTTCCATGCCCCTCTCCAAGTCCACTGATAGAGGAGGTCTTCCTCCCCTTCTATCTGGCCCTAACCTATCACATCTCATCAGGCGTGGCTGCATTGTTTTCCTCTCTGGCCTGGTAAGGCTGCACCCCCCTGAAGGGGACGTGATCAAAAAGGAAGCCAATCAGTTCCTGTCAGAGACAGTCCCTGTTCCCCTTACTATGGAACCCATTTGGACACTGAACTGCCATGGGCTATATCGGTACAGGGGTTCTAGGTTATCTCCATGAATGGTCCTTGGTTGGAGTTTCAGTCTCAGAAAAGACCCCTAGGCCCAGATTTCTTGGTTCTGTTGCTCCCCTTCTAGAGCACCTGACACCTCCACGTCTTTCTCCCCCTTCTTTCATAGGATTTCCTACACTCTGCCCAAAGTTTGGCTGTCAGCCTCAGCATCTGCTTTGATACTCCGCTGGGTAGAGTCTCTCAGAGGCCCCCTGTGGTATGCTCCTGTCCTGTTCCCTGTTTTTTTCCTTCTTCCGATGTCTATCCCATTTGCCTTTCTGAGTGAGGATTGATCATCTTACCCAGGGTCCTCCTCCTTGCTTAGGTTTTTTTAGGTATACAGATTTTAGTATGATTATCCTATATTATATGTCTCATATCCACTTATTTAGAATATACCATTTGTATCTGCTTCTGGGATACCTCACTCAGGATGGCCTTTTCTAGTTTCTACCATTTGCCTGCAGATTTCATGATTTCCTTGAATTTTCGTGTAGTATTCCATTGTTTAAATGTACCACAATTTATGTATCCATTCCTCAGCTGAGGGACATCTGGGTTGTTTCCAGATTCTGGCTATTAACGAGTAAAGCTGATACGACCATGGTTGAGCAAATGTCCTTGAGTATACTTGAGCATACTTTGGATATATGCCTAGGAGTGGTATAGCTGGATCTTGAGGTAGCACTATTCCTAATTGTCTGAGAAAGCGCCAGATTGATTTCCAAAGTGGTTGGACAACTTTACATTCCCACCAGTAATAGAGGAGGGTTCCCCTTTCTCCACATCCTCTCCAGCATGTGTTGTCACTTGAGTTTTTGTCTTAGCCAATCTGATGGGTGTAAGGTAAAATCTCAGGGTAGTTTTGATTTCCATTTCCCTAATGAGTAAGGCTGTTGAGTATTTCTTTAAGTGTTTCTCTGCCCTCAGTATTCCTCTATAAAGAGTTCTCTGTTTAGCCCTGTACCCCATTCATTAATTGGATTACTTGATTTGTTGCTTTTTAACTTCTTGAGTTCTTTATATATTCTGGATATTAGCCCTCTGTCAGATAGAGGGTTAGTGAAGATCCTTTCCCAATTCTGTAGGCTATTGTTTTGTTCTGACAACAGTGTTCTTTGTTTTACAGAAGCTTTTCAGTTTCATGAGGTTCCATCTATTGGTTTTTGGTATTAGAGCCTGTGCTGTTGGTATTCTGTTCAGGAGTTCTAGGCTGTTCCCCACTTTTTCTTCTAACCGAGTTAATATGTCAGGCTTTATGTTGAGGTCTTTGATCCACTTGGACTTTAGTTTTGTGCATGGTGATAGATATGGATCTATTTGCATTTTTCTACATGTAGACAACCAGTTAGACCAGCACCATTTGTTAAAGATCCTGGTTTTTTTGTTTTGTTTTGTTTTGTTTTCCATTGTATGGTTTTGGCTTTTTTTTTTTTTTTTTTTTTTTTTTGTCAAAATTAAGTTTCCCTAGGTGTGTGGGTTCATTTCTGGGTCTTTTATTTGATTCCATTGATCCACTAGTTTGTTTCTATGCCAGTAACATGCAGTTTTTATTACTGTTGCTCTGTAATACAGCTTGAGATCAGGGATGGAGATACCTCCAGAAGATCTTTTATTGTAGAGGATTGTTTTAGGTATTTTGGGTTTCTTGTTTTTCTGTATGAAATTGAGAATTGTTCTTTCAAAGTCTGTAAAGAATTGTGTTGGTATTTTGATGGGAATTGCACTGAATGTGTAGATTGCCTTTGGTAGGATGCCATTTGTACTATGTTAATCCTACCAATCCATGAGCATGGGAGATATTTCCATCTTCTGATATCTTCAAGTTTTTTCTTCAGAGACTTCAAGTTTTTTTCATATAGGTCTTTCACTTGCTTGGTTAGAGTAACACCAAGGTACTTGTTGGAAGAGATTGATTTAAATTTTATCAGTACATGATAAAAGTCCTGAGTTAGAAAATGGGCTGGAAAAGACAGAAAGTTGCTCCTCAGGCTGTGGTAAAAGTTAAACAGATGTGTCTTTGCAGAGATGGAAGATAGGAGATGAGGAATGGTTTGGGTAAGAGGTAAAGGTGGTACAGATTATTTGACTTGTGATTTTATTGTCTTATTGAAGTTTTTTTCTTCAATAAAAGATCTTTTTTCTTGGGCTTTTGTTCAATTATTCAATTCTTTGACAGTTTCATACATGTATAGAATGCATCCTATAATTCTTGTACTATCCAATTCATCCTGACAACTCACTTTTTAAGTATATTCACAGATAGCTACTACTGTGCCCCATAGGGGCGCATGTGTGTTTATGTGTGTGCGTGTGTGTAAGTGAACCTGTGTGTATGCCAGAGAACAGCTTCACGTGTCATCCTCAGAAATGTCCTTAATCGGCATGGAGCTAAGGGTTAAGTTATACTGGCTGGCCAACAAGCCCCCGTGATCTGCCTGTCTCTGCTTCCACGCTGTTGAGACTGTAAGTGCACACCTCTAGTCCTGGCAGTTTTATATGGTGTTAGGAGTCCAACTCAGTCTTCATGCTTGTGAGGCAGGCACTTGCCAGTAGAGCCACCTCCCCAAACCAGAAGATTCTTCTTATACATATTTTCACATGCCATTGTCCTAAAGAGTTACTTATTTCTTTAAAAACATGTTTTCGATAGAAAGTATTTGAAGCTTAATATTTGCTAATATATAAAACATTTGATTAAAAGTTTGAAAGGTTGTCAATGATGGTAAAAATGAAAAATACCATTCTTGAAGATTTTTCTCATTAAAGATTCAATGTAAAGAAGTACTGAAAAATAATTTCTTGTCTTTTCATGCAGGTAAAAGACCAGCATCAGGGCAATGCCCCATTTCTTTTGTACCTGCTCAGAAAATCACAAAGCCTGCTGCTAAATACGGAGTGCCTTTATCATATAAGAAGTATGGAGATAAAAAGTTAGTTGAAAAAAAAACACCCCCAAAACATAAGGTAAGGGCATTTTACGAACTGATTTACATCATGTTCAACTTTACCTCATTTAATAACCGTTCCATGAGTTATCTTGATACTCAGGGTAGTCTTTCTTCCTTTCTAAGGAAGGGCGTTCTGCATCTGTCCTCTCTAACTTATGATCCTTAAAGAAGTATTGGACAGTCATTAAGTGGATACGTTGTGTAAACAACTGGATAATAATAAAAAGAAAAGTAGTACTTGATTGTATGCATAAAATTAAGTACCTGTTCTGTTGTTCCTAAAAAACCAGAAAATTTGTATATTTCAGAATTCAGTCAAATAAATCAAAATCTTAGAAGTATATAAAGAACATGTTCGTATGTGTGAATCTCCCATCTCATAAATTAAAAAACAATTATGGCCTAAAGCACTAAGTAACATGACTGGGATTGTGGTATTAGTTGAAGGACATTGGCGTTTTTCTTCTAACCAGTTCTTGCATGTTTTAGTATATGAGACATGTTTTGTTTGGGATACATATGTATAAATACACTTACATACATTGTATATATGTATGTTTAGACACACACACATACACACATTGTTGTGCCATAACCTTCACAGTATGGTTGATCAATCACTTCGGTTAATTATCCTAAATTAGTTTAAATTAAACATTTTTAATTAGGTGAATTTTTCTAAAACAGTTTAAAATGGTTGCTAAAAATAAGTTCCTCAAGTTATATAAATTAACATGGAGTCAGGAGACAGAAGTTACATGGTAATTTGAATATGGAAATTATAATGTAAATCATTATTACCTATTTTTAGGAATTAGCAATGGGCAAAGAGGAATATAATATAGGAATGGCAGATAGAGGAATCAGCTGCTACTCCTAGTACTAAGAGAATAAACAAAGAGAGAACAAAAATGTAAAGATTCCCCACCCCATCCTTGAAGTTAGTTCAGACCTTATTTGGGTGGGGCAGAGCATAAGCCTATTTGTGGTAACATCCACTGAAGTGCTACAGTCTACATTGCTAAATGGAAAGCTATCTACCCCAGAACTGAGGCCTCCTGGGAAGTTGTCTGCAGGTCAGTAAATAATACTAAGAAACTTAGTTAGCTGGCATACTCTGAGAAGCCTGCTGGAAGACAGATGGAATGCATGTTGTGCTGGTGAACTTTCTGTGAAGCTGACTGGACACCAGCAGTAATCTGTAGGGAGCTGTCTTTGGTGGACTACTGAAATTCAGTTGGAACCTGGCAGGATATAGACACAGCTTTTGTAAGGTACCTGCAGGAGCAAGTGCCACAATGTGTTCTCATATTGCTGAATAACAAAAGAGAAGCACTGAGTAGAAAGAGATGGTCTTTCCTTCTGTAGTTCTTCTTCATCACCTACTAATGTGCTAGTGATGAAGAAAAATTGTTGTCATGCCCAGCTGCCGTAGTAGAAGTAGGACTGTATACAAGGGTGGTGTAACTAGCATACTGCCTTTATCATTTGCTGATTTTATTTATTTAGCTATGGACCAATTCCATTGTATCCTTTTCTCTCTTTGGTCATCAAAAGAAATTAGGACTGAAGACTTTCCCTGTTTCTTGGTCTTTAAGTTCCCGAAGACTGATCATATCCTAATTTTTCCACCTCAATATTTCTGCTATTTTTTTGTTGTTTTGCTTTTTTTTTTTTTTTTTTTTTGAAACAGTTTCTCTCTATAGCTGTGGCTATAATGGACCTCGATGTATAGACCAGGCTAGCCTTGAACTCACAAAGATCCACCTGCCTCTTCCTAGAGTGCTGGAATTAAAGGTGTTACCACTATCAGGCTCTTTGGTAATTCTTAAGAGTCTTCAAATTTTCTTCTATGTCAAGCTTTAAAAAGTAATCCTTGCTCATTTTTCTCTGGCATTTGTCTTGTCCCTGACCTCTCTAGCCTTCTTACATGATACCCTTTTCCTTAAACTGGATCTAGGTAGTGTGGTAATGCTGTAAAGTCTGTATTAATGCACACTTCCCAGCTTGTAACCTAGCTGTATTCCAGGTTTCCTTCTAGAGTGTATGTATCACCTGCTTTTGTACTGTGGTAAAGTCATCTACAGACCCAGGTTCTTTTAAAAGAGTTCAACATCTGATTCATCCCCATTTTTTTAATGTCATAATTTTAAATCGTTTCAGGATCCCAAAAAGATAATACAGTGTATACCTTTTATACTTTTGCTCATTGTCATTCATTTATTCCCACCGTACTGTTGAATATTGTCCTTATAATGTTTTTATTCCAGTAAACAGCAACTCTAGCTTTCCATTTGTTCTTACTAAACCCCTGATAGTCAACATTGACTGCTCTTTCCGCAGCACATGGTTTCAACTCTGTCTTTAAACCATATGGAGTTACTTCTTATTATTTCTTCCTCTGACTTATTTGGAGCCACTCCCATTCTCAAACAGATCAATGTCCTAACTACTTTCTCTGCCTCTGTCTGCTGACAGCTGAGAAGACTGACTGTTGTGTTACAGTGAAGCTCAGATTTTCCTCAGATCCCAACCAGCTACTTGGTAATGGGACAATCTGCTCAGAGCTCTGACAGCCCTTTCAGATCTCGGAGCCTCATTTCCTTGCTGGTGGAGGGCAGTCCTGCTCTAAGCAGTTTTTACTGTCAGTGTGCTCAGTGCTACTTGCAAAAAGTATGTTTTGTTCTTACTGTTCTTTTTTGTTTGGTTTCATGTCTGTGGTAGTTTAAATGAAGATGGCTACAATAGGCTCATATATTTGTATACTTGATCTCTAGTGTGTGGGACTGTTTGGAAATGGTTAGGATGTATGGCCTTGTTGAAAGAGATGTGTCTCTGGGGTCACACTGTGAGGTTTCAAAACTCCTGTGATTTTTAGTGTTCTCTCTCTGCCTTATGGTTGTAGATCAAGATGTGAGCTCTCGGCTGTTTCTTCATGCTGCCATTGTGGAATTCAGCCCTCTGAAACCATAAGTCAAGTTAAACACTTTCTTTTATAATTTGCCTTGGTCATGGTGTTTCATCACAGTAGAAAAGAAGAATAAAAATTAACTAAAGACAGTGTCTGTAATCAGAATTCACTTTGTGATTATATTGTATCAACAGACATTCGTCTTCCACATTTGTGTGTACATTGGGAGTCTACTGTGCTTTGTTTTTCTCCTTGTTATTACCATCAAGTGCTTGTTTATTAATAGCATTTTTCCTATCTCCGTGGATAAGCCTTGGATCACCGTAAAATTTTTTACTAAAAATATTCCCTGGTAGGTAAGCTTTCTGTAAATATTTATTGGATAAGTGAATGAGTGGGTGGTAACTTCAGCATCAAGTCACTTTGAAACATTAATTTTATCTAAAGAAATGGTGGCCAAAATTTTACTGAAACTCTTGTTAGGAAAATAACTTATCATTTTTATTTTTACCTTTGATAAGATTTTATTTTTACTTGTACGTGTATGATTGTTTTCTCTGCGTTTGCGGTTGCACCACTGCATGTGCAGTGCCAGAGAGGGCAGAAGATGGCATCAGATCTCCCGGGACTAGAGTTACAGATGTTGTGAGCCACCATGTAGGTGGTGGGAATTGGAAGAGTCTTGGGGAAGAGCAGCGATTGTGCTCGTAACTACTGAGCCATCTGTCCTGCCTTTGTATCATTTGTAGCAAGTTCCTCAGTATTGATAAACACCTGAGGTGAAAATGATAATTATAAACTTTCTTAAACACATTAGAGAATATATTTATAAAGTCATTCATTAAAAAAATAATTTTCATGAAATATTTTTTTCAGTTAAAAAAGACCCATAGCTTGCTAAGCTAAAGACACTGAAACTTAATATAATTTTAACTTCCCATTATAACCTGCTCATTAAAATCATTAGAGGATCATTAGAAACAGACCTATTGAAATAAAAATGTATATACTGTGTTCATGATAAAACCATTTAGTGTATTGTCATGTGCATTCCATGCTCATGCTTACATGATAAGAACTCTAAAGACACTACCTTTTCCTGTTGCACTGACCTGCATGATGCTCCTACATTCTTTATATCAGCTCAATTGAGCCTCTCACCAGTTACTGACTATGCTGTGTAAGCACTTCTTCTTTTGTTTTGTTTGATCTGCTTCCTCTCCTCCTTTTGAGTGTTTTTGTTTTTCTTTGCCTCTTGTAGGCATGAGTCACATCAATATGACACTGTTTTGTTGTAAGCCCTTACTGTGTATATGAATCACATACTCATGCCCTCACATCATACAGTTCTACTGAGAAAGGCTTGGGGTTGAGGGAGAAGAGGCTAAAGAAGTCTCTTGTTTGTGAACAGTGCTCTAACTTTCAGATTACAAATAAGATCCTGGTATCATGCCTGGGACATTACCACATTGGCAGCAGTGCCAATTATATTTAAAATTTCCCACTGACCAAAGGGAGATAAGAAATGTTGCAAGTAATCTTATACTCTTTTCCACAGACCTTTTTTATTTTTTCTAGTTTTATCTCCTGCTCCTCCCAAAGAAAAATAGGACAAATTTCCTCATCAGAACTTCTTCAGTACCGTGTGTGTATTCTTTTAGTGTTATCTTTATTAGAATGTCATCTTGAAGTAAACAGCTGTTTTTTACATGCTTGCACAAAATGGAAAGTTTTGGGTTTTTAAATAAATAAATGAATAAATTAAATTTCACTCAGGAAAGCAGTGCTCTTTATTTTCTAGCCATACTAAATAGGATGGAAGGACAAATAAAAGCCCTACTTTTACACACAAGTAAATCAGTGTCTTTGAGATACTTCTTCATGAGTGTGTGTGGTATATACATGTATATGTATACATATGTGATGGCCAGCCATCAACTTCAGGTGCCCTTTATTTTTTGAGACAGGGTCTTTCAGGAAGCGAGGAACTCAGTATTTTGACTAGGTTACCTGGTCCCACAGCTCCTGTGGTTACAGATAAACACCAGAAAGCCAGGCTTTTTTTGTGGTTGCAGTGGACCCAGGTGTCAAACTCAGGTCCTCAT